AGTAATAGTAGTAGTAGCCTAATTCAGAGTAATAATACATGGCTCAAAACTTAAGCACCTTCTTCGGGAGATATAGCGGTTTCCCCGGTAACGGCTGTAATCAAATAAGCGCTGTGCTCACAAACGCTATTTTATCAGGCATTACAGGAAAGACGAAATGAAAATGACACCGAAGCTTTTCTGAAGACGGTCGGTTCTTTTCAAAGATACATACATTCATATAAAAAACACCAGCGCTGCATTTTAATTTTGAAACGTGCAGTGATCAGTTTATTCAACGAAGTAATAACTCAATGTATGGGAAACACTGGACACTGCTATAAGTCAAATGGCCAAGAGATAACAAAAATAAAAGAGTTCACACATATTACACAGCCTGCTACTCATAACTGCTTAAGAGTGCACCGGCCATGAGGGATAACATCATGGATGCTATTGTCGGACACACACACACATTTCATGAGGAAAGTTAACGTGCACGTTATAATCAGCCCAGAAGTTTCGTCTGAATTGCATGTGTCTCTACTTTCACATGCAAATGACTTATTGCAATTATGAATATGATAACTTTCCAGCATCTATTCTAGTAGGGTCAAACGTAATTACGCTTTCGAAACGGTCTGTTTTACCCTGTCATCATTAGCTGAAGCTGGGCGTGAACAAGAAGCGGCTGCAGAGTGAGAGTTGCTCAGTCTCTCACGCAGCCAGAGAGAGATTCTCCGGTGTTCCGCAACAATGCTTAGCTGCCCGCAGATGTGCCTGCCTATAAATCGGCCTAATTTGCAGCACAATCGGCCGATGCCGATTAATTAAAAAATGCCAAAAATCGGCCGATCAATTGGTGGACCTCTACTATGAAAATTGGAAAGTTTCATTGGTGAAAAAGCATAAACAGACAATACTTTGTCTAAAAATGTAACTCACAATATTAACTTCTTGTTTACTGAACTGTTGTATAAAATCAGTGTCACATTTGCAATCGTGCAGATATTTGGGAAAAACAGTATGTTTGCTTGTGTGAAACTCTTACGGGGTATTTTTGCTACCATATACTGTATTTTGGAGTCTGCATGCAACTATGCTACATGATGCATTGAGAGCATGCACTCTTCAAGGTGTGTTTTGTTTGCTTGTTTTTTGAGAAGTGAGTGACATACTTGATAATGTCGGCAAAGTCAGCTAATATCATTTCTGATATTACACTAGACTACACATATGGCACACCCCTCTAGGTTTACAGTCAGAGGTCTGGCTGTGTTGTATTGTTTTGCGTTCTCTCACCCCTGGGGTCCTCTCCTCTCCGTCACTGTCCTCATACTCGGAGTCAACAGTGTGGTGGTTTCGGGGGCTTGTGGCTGCTCCCCCCAGCAGTGCGGTGATGGCTTTATTCCTCACGTTTGCACTCGTCTCTCCCTCCTCGTCCTCTTCGTCAGGGTCCAAGTGCTCCATCAGCAACTTAAACTGAGAATCAAGCAGTATAAATCAGCAATTCTGAACATTTTGACTCAAAGGTCCCCCATTCTCCAGCACAACATTTCCTCAAGCATTTCTGCTGTAATTATGACAAAGCTGCATGTTTTCAAACGTTTTTATTAACAGAAACTGAAATGCTGATATATACTAAATTAACCATGATTCATTATGCGATTAATAAATATATTTTTATATATTTTTTAATTTGCTGTATTACTATTATCACGTGTCATTATGCGGCCTTCTTGGTAGTTTGGCAAGACAATTATATATTGTCAAATATTATTATGATTATTAGTAGAAACGTCAAATGTAAAAACAATGCTGTTATTAACAAAATAAACATAATATATAACACTCTACAACTTTTTTGTGATTCCAGAAGTTTCAAAACGATGTTCTTCAATAAAAGCAATTGTTATTCAGAGGAAAACCAAGAAAAACTAATTCATCTTGATTTTGTTTTTAGCATTTTAATTGCTCGATTACATTTAATAATAACAACAACAACTATTATTATTATTACTACATTAATAATAACAATAATTAAAAAATGTTTAAGTCATTCTGCGGCCTCCCTTATCATTACTGGCAAATATTCTTAGAATTACTATTAAAACTGTTAGATAATATTACTAACAATATTAATATAATAATTCATAACATTCCTAACACTTTCTTATTTAAAAAAAAAAAAAAAAAGAAGTAAAAATAAGCTCACATCGAGGTACTGTTTGACGATCTTCCTCTTCAGCTCATAGGTCATCTCATCATGAACCTCATCATTCTGGAGGAAGTCGATGGTCTGCCGTGGACTGAAGTAAACCGACGACTTCCTGTTGACGGCTTTATCGTACACCTTCGCCGACTCCGTAGGAGAGTACTTCTGAATTTTGCTGCATTGGAATAGAATAGAATAAATAGAGTAAATATAAAACCTAAACAAAACAGCAATCATTTCAGGGTTGCGGAGATGCATGATGGGTGTTTGTTACCTGTCCGAGAAGCCGTAGAGGTTCTTGAGGTGTTGTTTGAGCACCAGCAGTAACAGTATGCCTTGAGATGCTCTAGCAAAGTCCAGGAGAGATGTTGTGTCGTCAGGAAGACGCTCCATAACAGCATCAGCATCCTCGAGGTCAGAATCCGAATCTGACTCTGACTGCCTGGCGCCCTCGGTGGGCTTGGGCTTCCTCACCCGCTGCCCCTCTTCATCCTCTTCATAATCATTATCGTCATACTCTTCATCTCCACTGTTCCTTTCTCTTTCCTCGTTCTGCTCTCCCCTCTCCTCCTCTGAACCGTTCTGCTGCTGTTGATGCAGCTGTTGATGCTGCGGTTGGTGGTGGTGTTGGTGCCGCCGCCGCCGCCGTCGTCTTTTTTTCCTGCTCTTCCTGCCCGGAACCTTAACGAGAGACTGGGTACAACGATGGCTCGTTTAGAAGTCATAGTGGAATTACGGTCACAACCATCAGTGCATTAACATGACCAGTTACATAAGAGGGGTACATATACATAAATCTACATATACATATAAATGTAAAGGTACAGTAGTAATTCTTACAATTGTTATTACTTGTAGGGTTGGACAATTTGTCGTTTTAAAATCGAAATTATGTTTTTGGTGCAAACAAAAAACCTTTTCATTTATAAATACAAAAAAAAATTATTAAATATGACTGTTTTTAAATAATAATAATAATTATTATTAATGTTATTTTATATTTTTTTAATGATAAAAAATATACCATTGAAGAAGTAACTTATTAAAATAACCTTGTACTGAAAAACAAACATAAAAACTTATTAAATGGTAATTATTTAATTTTACAGAACCAAAAAATTTATTCAATGCTCACACCACCCTATTCCAGGTAAAATAGGAATAATAATAATAATCATCTATTTATCTATATATGTTATATTTATCTTTCAATAAAAAAAATCTAAAATTGTATTCCCTAAATGTTGTGTCAGTACTCAATATAGATATTTTTAAGGCATTTTATCAAAGTTAGAATTCCTTGATCGTCGCAACACTCGCCACTCTTTCAATGTGACAATATTATTAACTAAAATGTATTATGCACGTTATGCACATGACGTGTCACTCTGAGACACTGAAAACACGAGCTGCTTGTACGTAAATGAATACAGTGCTGTGCTTCATTCTTAAAAATCAGATTTACGCAATTCATATGGGTCATGCTTTAGGTTGGAAAATACAGAAATCCATATGAATAAAGGGGGGAAAACTTGTCCCTGATTATAAGAGGAAATAATGCATTTTATTTTTGTTCATTTAATACACATATTTTCAAGACAATTTTCCACCATCTTTTTGACATTTAAAATGAAATGGCCCATTTTTGGTGCTGTGCCTATAGGACTATGTAAACATCCTCTTCCCATTGCAAATGATCAACAGCACTTTGTTACGTTCACACAGAGGCTGTGAGTTTGCATTGCTTAATCCTTCAATCCACAGCTGCTTCGCAAGGCTGGATTACATAGTGACAGGCTCCCAAAACAATCAGTGCTGAAATGTGCTACTCAAACTGTTAAGGTCAGACACAAGCACTTGAGCACGCTTACCTCTTTAAATGTCTGCAGCAGGTTGCTGCCTGACACAGACAGTGTGATGTCTATATGATGCATGATGAACAGCGGCTCCTCCTGAGACTGATAGGGGAAGTAGGCCAGATTATCAGCGATGAACAGCAGCATGTTCACCTCAATCTTCTGCTCGGACACAGAGAGACAGACAGATGGAAAAGGTCAGTCTCAACATCACAACAAAGAGCCAACGACAGGAAGAGTCAGACACACAAAGAGCGCTAACCGAGCTGTCGTCGAAGAGATTGAGCAGTGAGATGAGGAACGCTCTCCGGTGTTGTCTGTTTGCACGGACCATGCTGTAGAGGTGGGAACATTGAGCAGAATTGGACTCGTCCTGACGGAAACCACGGATCACAGGTTCTGCTGATCCCATGATGGCCTGCTGCACTTGGTACGACATCTTCATCCCTGCTACAGCCTTCATCTGTAGAGTAATTTAAGTTGCATAATTTAATAGTAAATTAAACAATTAAAAAAAAATTAAACACTATTTTAAGGTGTGCTTGTTACACGTTACATGTACTTATTATTATAATAACAATACATTATGCACAATTACATGCAGGTAACCCTAAACTGAACCCTAATCCTAAACCAACACCTTAAAATAATCCTAACACACACACACTGAATATATGTAATATACATACATATATTATACATATATATGAATATATAAATCAATGTAAATTAATCAATACATGCATACATAAACTGGATCATTCTAGTTCATTAGCGTTCAGGTTGGTTTAACCTGGATGTTTCATGGCATAATGTGGTTTCCCACTTTACACTCTTACTCTGACGGCTTCAGTCTATTTGACCAGTAGGAATGGTGAACCAGAATTATCCAATTTATGAACAAAATTATGACACTGCATGAGATGCATATGGCATGGTGTGTGGATTGGTGCTCACATGGATGAATCCAGTGTATTTCTTATCAATCTCCACCAGCTGCTGGTCTGCTTTGTTCCTCATGGTGGGCTCTGGGTCCGTCCCCATAGCAATCAGATATGGCACACACTGTGATTGGAAGGAGGAAGGAAAGTGACAAGTCTGTGTTAGTGTGCAAGTTCTGCAGCCAAGGCTGTGACAGTGAAGAGTAGGGCCACAACTGACCTTGTTTATTTATTTTTACATTTTCTGTGTGGACTGTATGAAATATAAAAGTGTGGAATGGAATTAAATCTAACTGGAATAAAGCACTCTTAACTGTAGCTGAAAGCATTACTAAATTAGTCAAAAGCATTTATGCAAGAACATTTATGTAAAGTCTTTAGTCAGTATAAACGGTTTCATTCTGCAAGGGAACATTAAATTGACCAAAAAATAACAGTAAAGACATTTAAAGTGTTACAAAAGATTTCTATTTCAAATAAATGCAGTTCTTTTGAACTTTCTATTTGGTTTAGAGCAAAATATTAAGCAGCACAACTGTTTTCAACATAGATGATAATCAGAAATATTTCTTGAGCAAATCAGCATATTAGAATGATTTCTGATGGATCATGCAACACTGAAGACTGGAGTAATTATGCTGTAAATTCAGCACTGCATCACAGGAATAAATTACATTTGTAAAGTATATTCAAATAAAAAATATTTTAATTACCAATAATATTTCACAATATTACCGTTTTACTGCCTTTTTGTTTAAATAAACAAAACAAAAAAAGAACGTTCTTTAATAAAAATGATTTTGCATTTGCACCTAAACTTTGTATTCATAAGTGTGTTTCCTGGGAATCACTATAAAACTATAACTATAACAAGGACAAACAAAACAACATGCAAAGGGTCAAAATGTGCAGAAGTTTATGATTTCGTGCAGGACCAGTGATGACTTTGATGCTGGGTTTATAATGTCAGAGTCGTTGTATACTGGTGTGTGTACCTGTACGGGGTGTATGAGTCCCTGGCTGAGGGTCAGAGCGATGACATTGAGGGCAAAGTGTCGTACACTGGACTGCGTGTGGAAGAAAGACTCCAGCACCTGCTTCAAATAGAGCTGCATGATAGAACTGCTCATACCAGAGGAGATGTCACCCATCTCTTTCAGATCCTCCTGCTTTGACATTTTCTGCCCTGAAAAGATAAAAACACAACAAGCTTTCTTTAAGGGTTGTATAGAGTTAATAGAGCCCTATGGAGTTTGACAGTCTTTTGTTTGTGTAGTGAATACTGTTAATCTCAAAATTATACTAGCATAATAGCAAAAGTCATGGTCACTCACACTCTCTGTCGGCCACCTGCATGCGAGAGTCCTCCTCCTGTAGATACATCTGGAGGTTTTTCAACACCTGGATCTTCAGCGTGATGGAGCACCGCTTATCAGACAGGAGCCCGTTATACAGAGACTTCACCTCTGGAATGAACATCTGACTCGGGTGCATGATGAACAGGAAGCCTGCAGGACATTAGAAAGACAATGATGGTGTTTTTTTATCCAGCAATTTATTTTATTATTATCCACCAATTAAAATATTGCTATGGTGGCATATGCATAATTACCCAGTTCTACTCTTAAGTATTGTTATTGTAAACTACAATATGTAACTAAAAAAATATGTAATTGTAACTAAAAAATAAATAAATTACGGAATTGTTTTCAATAACACTGAAATAATAATAATAAAAATTTTTTTTTTGAAATGTTGCCTTGCCAATTACACAAAATAAATTTTAGTACTTTAAAGTACTAAAATAACTTATACTAAAATAGCAATCAATTTTAATTAAAATAAAAAATAATAAAAATACTAACAAAAGGACAAAAGCACATAACAAAAGTACTAAAACTTAAAGAGTTGAAAATAATAACTGAATTTAAAACTGAAAATATAAAAATAAAAGCTCATTCAAATAATGAATAATATACTACTAATAAATACTGTAATAGTATATATAACACAGCCGTTCAAAAGTTTGGGATCAGTAAGATTTTTAATGAAGTCTCTTGAGCTCATCAAGGCTGTATTTATTTGATCAGAAATACAGAAAAAAACTAATATTGTGAGATATTATTTCAATTTCTAATATTGGGTTTCTGTTTTAATATACTTTAAAATATCATTTATTTTATTATTTTATTTCATTACTGTGATGCGCAGCTGAATTTTCAGCATCATTACCAAACTTAAAGAGTTGAAAATAATAACTGAATTTAAAACTGAAAATATAAAAATATACTAATAATAAATACTGTAATAGTATATATAACACAGCCGTTCAAAAGTTTGGGATCAGTAAGATTTTTAATGGAGTCTCTTGAGCTCATCAAGGCTGTATTTATTTGATCAGAAATACAGAAAAAAACTAATATTGTGAGATATTATTTCAATTTCTAATATTGGGTTTCTGTTTTAATATACTTTAAAATATCATTTATTTTATTATTTTATTTCATTACTGTGATGCGCAGCTGAATTTTCAGCATCATTACTCCTGTCTTCAGTGTCACATGACCCTTCACAAATCATTCTAATATGCTGGAAACGGTTTAATTTTTTTTGGAAACACTTTTTTCTGAATTATTTTATGAATAAAAAGTAAAAAAAAAAACAGCATTTATTTCAAATTAAAATCTTTTCTAACAATATGAGTCTTTACTATCACTTTTTATCTATTTAACACATCCTTGCTGAATAAAAGTATTCATTAGTTTCAAAAAAAGAAAGAAAAAAAATTTACCGACTCCAAACTTTTGAACGGTAGTGTATATTGTAACACAAGATTTACATTTTGAATAAATGCTGTATTTTTTTTTTATATATATATATTCATAAAAGAATCCTGAAAAACGTATCACAGGTTCCAAAAAACATGAAGCAGCACAACTGTTTCCAAAATTGATAAATCAGCATATTAAAATGATTTCTGAAGGATCATGTGACACTGAAGACTGGAGTAATGATGCTGAAAATTCAGCTTTGCATCACAGGAATAAATTATATTTTAAAGTATATTAAAATAGAAACTGTTATTTTAAACTGCAATAATATTTCACAAAATAACAGGGTTTTTTCTGTATTTTTGATCAAATAAATACAGCCTTGATGAGCACAAGAAACTTCTGTAAAAAAATATTACAAATCTTACTGATACCAAACTTTTGAATGGTAGTGTACATTATACAGTATATATATATATATATATATATATATATATAAATACGACAACAACAAAGAATGCATTATCTTACCCAATCCAATGATGGCTTTGCATCTAACTTCTTCATCCTCGTGATTGGTGAAGTACAGTAATGATTCCAAAACCTTCTCCTTTATCACAACCTGTCAATAACAGTGAAAAATTTCAGGTTTAAATAACACCTAGTTAAACATACCGAATGAAACAAAATCATACAATATCATAGGAATAAAACTGAAAATAAAAAACTGACAATTCTAAAAAATATTTGATCAAATTTATTTAAAAAATATCTGTAAATAAATAAAAAAAATGTTTTTTAACAAGCAATCTTGGGTTTAAAAAAGCTAAATAAATATACATAGAGACTTGATTCAGTGAAATTTGTGTTTGTTAACTCTAATGAGCTCAAGTTATGAGCAAGCAACTACATGGCACTAACAGCTGCACGTAAACTACATGCAGGTCTATAACCGTATAAAAGTTACGTAATGGAAAAAGGTTGCGATACCTTAGTGGTGCCCTTGAACTGCTCGAAGTCAAAGTCAAAGTGTCTGCAGAGAGCTCCCACAGTGAAGAGAGATCTGAGCAGGGCTGCTTTGGTGGCAGCCAGTGCCATGCTGTTCGTACCCTCCTGATGCTGTAACTTTAGCTTAGTCAGAGCCCCATAATAACGGTTAAAACAGGCCCATACAAACTTATAATTATGAGTCACTTTATTCACTATCGCACCCAAACAGCTCACACAGTACTGGACAACCTGTGCGAAAGGAGAAAGAACTTAGTGGGATGTGTAGAAATAGGATGCAAATGTGTATCTGTAACTACATGTCAACAAATGACCAACCAGTCAGTTAATCTAATTTAAGATTAATGAACCATACAAATGAATATTTTAATTATTATTTTAAAAAGATACACAATAAACCACACTAGAATCATTTTTGTCTGCTAAGTAAATAAAAAGTTAATTCAGATATGTGAATTGCTTATAAGAGTGGGTGAGAGCAGGTCACTTACGGTCATGCCATATTTTAAGATGAGCTTCATCAGGTCTTCTTCAATGGTGGTCAGAAAGCTCTCACTGGGGTGATCCATCAGAGGAACCACAAGCTCCAGGATCTTCGCAATGTTACAAATCACCATGAAGTCACTCTGAGACTGTGTAAATAAACAAATGCATTATGCATAAAAACTGAAAAGAAAAACCATCAATGAAAACAATCTTGTACCTTGGCACAATATCATCTTGAAACATAAGCAGTATATGGCCACAAGATGGCAGAATGACCTCAAATATTGCACTGGCAGGTGCTTAGCATACAGCCCTAAAAATCAGTATTTTTATTTATTTATACAAATTCCATTATTGTTCCATTTTAAGTTTCAGTCTTTCTGGATTTCATTTTAATGGTTAAATAACATTTCATAATCAAAAAGCATATCTAATTAATTGAAATCATTTAACTTACAATTATATGAAACTATAATTTAACAACAATTTATTAAAGGTTTAACAAAGCTTACATTTTTGGGGCCCTATGAAATGCATTTTATTTTATTTCCCCAAATTCCAAACATTTCCATTCATTTTTCTGGATTACGTTTTATTTTGTTTGTTTCAATTTTCTGGTTTCTGTTTTAATGGTTGAATTTAATTTTTATAATTAAAGCCTAATTAAAACCATTAAACTTTTACAATTTAGCAACAATTAATTAAAAGTTCAGCAAAAAGTTTTTATTTTTCCCAAATTCTGTGTTTTCAGTCTTAACTTTTCTGGATTTTAATTAAACCATTTTAATGCTTTGATTACATTTTAATAATAAAAAAAAAAAAGCATGTCCAATAAATTTAATTTTTGAAACTTTAACAATTTAATAATTTATTACACTTACAATAATAAGAACCTATTACATTTTAATTTATTTATTTTTGAGATTTTTTTCCATAAAACTGTGCTGTCATTTTTCATTTTTCTACATTTTTGATTTAATACAAATGTATTATTACAAATACAAAGTGCTGAAAAATGGCAGGTTTACTGTTAAAATGAAAGTCTGAACTTACACTGCACTTGGTGGTGAGGTAGGGCTGCATAGTCATGGCATGCTTGACCATAAGCTGCGCTCTGATCTTACTGAACAGATACAGCGTGGTGATGCATGCGACTAACCGTGTCGAGTTCACACTCTTGTGCTCTGCACACAGACAGCATAACAACAACAACTTAATACATTTTGGGAAAACCCATAATTTTTAAACTGGCAAGAACAAACTTATTAATTAATGCATTATATTAATTCAATAACTATCATACAATAATTTATTATTTATTTACAAAAATTGCATTAAATGAAACAAACCCATTATAATAAATGTCAATCAATCAATCAACATTTATTTATACAGTCCTTTACAACACTCAAAGTGAACCAAAGTGCTTTCCAATACATGTCATACCTGTGCCCTTCAGCAAATAGGAAATATACAGAAATTGAATAAAGTTGTCAAGCACTAAATTCTAAATGAAATAGATGAATCCTTAAAGCTACAAAAGTTACTGATTTCCTCTTGTTCTTAGACTTACAGATATCACAGCAGCTGGGATATTAGGTTATTTGGCTGCTATTACTTTAAGAGCTGCCGCTGCTGAACATGAGGTGGCTTGTAGTTTAATCGTGCTTTAATATGAAATGATGTGCGTGCAGTTGAAGAGCACACGCTACGACCACAGTATAAAGGCTGACAGTAGGCTTGCCGCGATAGACGGTGCTACTGGTGTTAAGCCGAAACACCGGTTACGTCACTTGCCCACTGCGTCACCGACCCCCACCGTCGTTTAGATTTTTTATAATAATAAAAATAATTTAGTTCAGTAAAAGAACAGACACTACAATTAAAATCTGAACGCGGCTGCTCAATGCAGTTGAACGACAGTTGCATGACGGATCAGATTTCATTTCTCCAGTGAGGAGAGTGAGTCGAGCTGACTGACAAGAAGAGTGGGGTGAGACAGACAAGACGATCGCGGATGATTTAGTTTTGAAACAAAATACAAAAGCGCCTGTTTGGCAATATTTTGGATTTTCAAAAGCCTGTTGACTTTTGCTGTTTATCTAAGGTGATTTTGGAAGTTTTTTAAACATTTGTTTCTTATTTAATTGGTTCCACATTGTTTAAATAAAATGTAAAATAACAAGTAAAATGCGCACGGCGCTTTTAAGCTATACAAAAGTGAAGCGAGGAAAAGAGGGAAAATTCAAACGAACTAAAAACTAACAATTGCTTTACTTCGAATTGCCACTATTTGAAAGTGAAAGTAAAATGCGCACGCTGCTTTTACAAGCTATTTAAAAGCGAAGGAAAGCGAGGAAAAGAGGGAACGCCCCCACCCCCGCTGTGATATTGGTATTACCGGTGTTGTCACACGTCGATTAACCGGTGGGAAAATTTCCTCACCGTCACAACCCTAGCTGACACGACAGAAAAAGTTGTTTTTACTGCATACATCTCATTTGACCGCAGTTCACTGTTGTTCTACCTCATCACCTGTACCATTTCCATGCTCATTTGACTAGCGCCTGCACTGAGGTGCGCTTCTGAAAAATCTCCTGTTTGATGTGGTTGTAAAGACATTCTGCGTCTAAATAAAAGCATTTTATTTTATTCTCTTGTCAAGAAATAAAGACAGAAGCAGCAGTAGTGACAGGGGTGGCCAACCCTAGCTCCGCCCCTGCGTTAACGGTGTTAAATATTTTTACCGCCATTAAATTGTAAAAATGAATCGCCTGCGATAACACTACAGCACTACATGAAACATAAAAGCCTGATATACCAAATAAATATGATACTCAAGAAAAAGTGCATATGCTAACTTTTTTTCAATATTTTGGTTCAATAAACTGCTCCATTTCAATAAAATTTGATTTATTTGTGACTATTATTTCATACATCAGGCTCTGTAAAAATGAATCGCCTGCGATAACACTACAGCACTACATGAAACATAAAAGCCTGATATACCAAATAAATATGATACTCAAGAAAAAGTGCATATGCTAACTTTTTTTCAATATTTTGCTGTATAGTTTCAATATTTTGCTTTTTTTCAATATTTTGGTTCAATAAACTGCTCCATTTCAATAAAATTTGATTTATTTGTGACTATTATTTCATACATCAGGCTTTACAGGATTAATCAACTGATTTTCTAAAACAAATCAGATTTCTAGTAGCGTGTGCGTACCTGCAATTGCCTCCTCGTATTTGAGGATGTACTCCACAAGATTGTCCACCAACTGAACACAGGCCTTCCTGGTTGGCTTATAGGATGAGTCCTCCTCTGACTTTAAAAGCTATAAAAAAAAGAAAACACTTACAGCTCTACAATCCTCCAAACTAGAGACCGGCAGATGGAAACTGATTTGACTTGAAAACACTTACATTCTGCAGGAGCTGCTCAAACCAGTCATAGCCAGTGTCCTTACAGGCAGCGACCTGCAGTACAGTAAAGAATAAGTTCAGCTAGGGGACGATGCACTATTTCAAAGAAAAGCCTTTTTCACACTAGATCTTTAGGTATGGACACAAATCAGTCTGATTTGATCGATTTGTGTGAAAGTTGCTTTATTCAAGGTGCAGTTATGTAATATTGACGGCTAGCGGTTGAAATGGGTACTGCAATCTAAATTCAAAATACTGGAGAGAGTTGTTTCTCCTGCCCCACTTCCTCAGATGCAAAGCTCACACGGGTTGCCAGATTGAGGAATGAGCACAATTGACAATGGAAGGCAACTCTTACACTATAAGTTGATGAGTTGATTTATTCTTGTTTTAATAACCATAGAGCTTTTTAGTTGGATGCCGAGGCTTTTTGGGTCAGGCAGAATCTGCGATCTCTGACCTTTCCATGGCTGCAATATGCCGTGTTTTCCAGCAACTGGCAACCCATTGTGTCAAAATACTATTGGGTAAACAGGCAGTGGGCGGAGTCACACAGACCAAAACAAAAACAGACATTCTGCCAAGGAACCCACATTTCAAAGCAGAATAACTGGCTGTAGCATCGATTTTAGGAGAAACATGTGAACCTAGCATGTTTCCTTAAAGGGGTCATATGATGCGATTTCAAGTTTTCCTTTCTCTTTGGAGTGTTACAAGCTGACTGTGCACAGATAAGATAAGAGGTAATTCTGACTTTGCTATGACAATCTGGCGCTTCTGAATCAGCTACTGTTTTGTTATTATTTTAAGTATTTGCTATTGACTGTTCAAATGCAGAGTTTTGCGCATCGTGTGTGTGTGTGTGTGCGCGAGCAAGCGAGAGAGAGAGCGAGAGAGAGAGCGAGAGAGAGAGAGAGAGGGGGGTCACATCACAGTGGAGTCAGCTGTCTTAACCATGGCTTGTGTATTGCACACATACCAGCATACCAGCGGTGTCTGTCACGTGACTCTGTTCCTCTTTCAGGCTCTGTCTTTACATTTATTTTGAAAGATGAAGCTCACGATTATGGTAAGGGGCGTTACATTTCCGACGAGTGCTTGCGGTGTTCGGCCAATCAAAATGCACTGGGTCAGCTGGCCAATCAGAGCAGACTGCGCTTGTCGGAAGGAGGGATTTGTAGAAAACGAAGCGTTTGAGAGAGGCGGGGCATAGAGGACTTACAATAATGTACAGTATTTGAAAAATAATGTGTTTTTTGAACATTAAAGCATGTCAACATATTCTGTTACACCAAATACACAAAATAATGATCTTTTAAAAAAGCATCATATGACCCCTTTAATATCTGCAAATGTAATATGGCATTTTTATGCTTTAGTGCAGTCAAAAAAATTACACACAGCACCTTTATTTCCTGTAAGCACCAAGGAATCATACTCAAGTTCCCTTAATTACAAGGGTTAGGATGCATTTCATATGAAATGACCCAGGAGAGCAAGACTCATGCCCTGCAAAAAGAGCAGCAATTGCATTTCTCACTGCTGATGCAGAAATTGCCTTCAGGGAGAAGCTTACATTTTCTGCATATCTTGCAATGCATCTGCTGCAGAGATATGCAAGCACCACTGGAAGGTCTTATGTTTTGGTAGTAAAAGCAAAAGGTATGAAAACACGCCTTCTCAAGTGTTACCTAGCTACAACCACAATCAGCTGAATTAGAGTCAAATAATACAAATGCAGAATCAAACTTGTGGTCAGTCACACACACACACACACACACACATATATATATATATAATAAATAAATACTAAATAAATATATACAATTTAAACAGTTGGACTGACCACATCAGTGATGTTGAGAATCTTCCTATTCATTGTTTCTTTGTCGTGGCTGGCTGTGGGTGTAAACCACAGCTTCTGGAATGTTTCATTCACCAGTTTCTGTAGGGAGAGAAAGACTGTTAGCACTTTTGGCACTAACTGGAAAAACCTATCATAACAGAGAATGTGGTTGCACCTTGATGCCCTCCTCGTCATTGACCCTGCGGATCATCTTCACGCACATCTCTGTGATCTTACTGAAGTTGGGCTGTTCTAAACAGATGTCTCTCAGAATCTTGATCACCCTCTTCCTCACGCTGATACCGGTGTCCTGGAGTGAAAGCACATAAAATCACTTTACACGTCTCACAGATTACATGTACAATAATCAAAATAGCAGGAAAAAACACAACTGACCTATCGGTAAGCCCCGCCCCCCTTAGTTAATGTTGCTCCCTCGGACAAACAAACAGAGCTGCTCACTGTCTTACAATGACAGCTGTCAGTGTGAAAACCTTGTCACAAGATGTTCTTGAACAATTTTGGATACAGAAGGACCACCATTCAAGTGGGAATTAAATATGCCATGGAGGGATATATAAAAGATTTTAAAATAAATACGGTGGGTAACTCGATTAATTTGGAAGCAGGGTTTACAGATCACAAAGAAAGCGGGAGAAGTCTCATGTTACGGTCGTCACGATCACGGATGACAACATGCAGGATCAACGCTGTTCATGTATCGCAGGGTATGATTAAATTAAATTAATGTACATTTAACCAGTTTAATACGGAGAGGCACTGAAATGTAGACCTTCTTTTATGTGTTTTTGACCTACACTGTACATGACGTGAGGACAGTCCGCTATTTTGTAAGATGGCATGGACTCACTAACTTCAACGTTAGCTAGTTTTAGCCTGAGATGCCTTGCTGAAGCACAAGATGACATTAATGTTCTGCTTGAGAAGATGAAAACTGTCCGAGTTCCATTCCCCATGCAACTGATACTCAACTGCCATTGGTTCATCTGCGTTCGATGGGAGGGGCTTACCGATAGGTCAATTGTATATAATTATATATTCAACATGAAGACTTTAGGCTAAAATGAACATCAATGTCTACAGCAGTGGTCTCAAACTCAATTCCTGGAGGGCCACAGCTCTGCAGAGTTTAGCTCCAAATCACACCTGCTTGGAAGTTTCTAATAATCCTGAAGACCTTGATTAGCTGGATCAGGTGTGTTTGATTAGGGTTGGAGCTAAACTGTGCAGAGCTGTGGTCCTCCAGGAATTGAGTTTGAGACCAATGGTCTACAGCAGTGGTCACCAACCTTTTTAGGCCCAAGATCCCTGACCTCGGCCTTTATGAAAGACAAGATCTACCTATTGAAGAATTGATAGAAAAAGACATCCCAGATTGTACTTCAAATTTGAGGCCTTTTACTTTGTATTTTAATTAGTGATGTGCCGATCATAGCGGATTCAGAATTCAGATTTTCTTTTCTTTCTATAGCAAATTGGCTGATACTGATACTAATTTTTAAGCAAATTTATTTATTGGCTATTTGCTTTATAACAAATAAACTGGCTTTAAACAAAAATTGCCATTTGAAATTAGAGGCAACCACTGCATTTTAATCACGACCTGCACGGGCAGTTGTTTTTGATATGATCTAGATTAATTTCAAGATTTAAAACAAAAACAGAATGGTCTGACTTTAGGTGTTATTTATTTATTTGCTACATAAAACATCTGCACGAAACAAAAACAGCAGGTCTGAATGAGACGCACTCTCTGACAGCAGGTGGCGCTTATGAACAGGGTTGCCAGTTTTTCGCAATAAAACTAGTCCAATGGAGGGGGGTTCCCCTGTAAAAAAAAAATATTTGCATTCCGGGGGTAAAATACACGTTTTTCGGCAGGGATCTTCCAGTAAAATTCACATTCCAGGGGCTAAATATCACGTTATTGGGGTCGCTTCAACCCGCGGACATGAACAACAACCCGTGGCAACAGTGTTAAAGTAGCCCAATTCCGCGGGAAAACCGCAGACTTGGCAACACTGCTTATGAATCGACCGCAATATAGCATTTCCTTGGTTACTGCTGTAAACAAAGCAGCGCTGCGCTTTATACGGAGAAGAAAATGCCATTGCCATCGAAACTTTTCTCAAGACAGTTCCCTTTAGTGATGCATTAATATAACCCCAGAAATGTAATGCATTTTTGTACTTATTTTACTGTTATTTTCGGGATCTACTGGGACCGCGATCGATGGGTTGGCGACCACTGGTCTATAGGGAAAGTGATTATCTTGGGCCTTTAAAGGGTCACCATTAACTTTCACAATTTTTAACTCACATTTTTGTCTTTACAAGTTAATTTTAAGTTGTCTTGCAATACGTCAAATTAGCTTTTAAAATGACAAACATGACCTATATTTATAAATTGTTATGAGGTCATAAAAGCTGCATGCATAACAAAAAAAGTGTCTAATGCTCACATTTATCTGATCGAAAAACAGCAATACTATGAAATATTATTACAAATTAAAATAATCATGTTCTGTTGTAATACATTTTAAAATGTAATTTATTCCTATTAGGGCTGCACGATATGTATCGAAATTATCGAAATATCGCAAATGTAAATATCGCAATATGCATATCGCAAGGGTGTGCGATATCTGAATCATTTTAATAATAGGCTACTTAAATCAAAACGTTGCAAAAAGTCAAAGTTTTAGTTTGACGCATATAGCAGAGAATTGCCTGACGTTAAAAAGAGTTAAGTGCAATAAGTTGCAGAAAACAACTCTTTGCCGTCTCGTCTTGCTGTCTGACTCCCACCTGAAGCGTATGCACAAGCCGCATCTCGCACAGCGTATCTTCCGTTCTGCCGCACATGTGCAAAGCGTGCGCGCACACACACACAGAGAGAGAGAGAGACTGAGTACCGTTATTCGAATTACACTTACGAATAACAGTAAAATGCTTGCGCTTGAAACACGATTTACACCTTTACAAAGCTTCTCTTGCGCATGCAAATTGAATTTACGCTTACAGTCTTATGTACACTTCCACAACTCTTACCCTGCGTATGCAAATCTTTTTGATGTCATTCTACCTTCATAAGAGACGCGTTTCAGTTGGCGCGCGAACACCGAGTTGATTCGTCTTTCGCGTCTCCTCATGTTTGAACAGACACATACACACAGAATTGTCAATAATACCCGTCTCAATGATCATTCTCGTAAACGCAGTCGGTTATGTTTTAAATGAATGTAAACAGCTGAGAAAGAAATCGGATGTGTATCATTATACTGGATCTGTGCAGTCGGATTTAAAGGCACAGCAGCCTATAAATATACGTGCTGCTGAATATGTCACTAATGTTAATCAAACAACAAAACAGCTATAACAAAGATTAATCTAAATTGAATTCATACAGTGAACACAATGCAGTGTTATTTTACAATTAATTATAAAATTTCTGTACCTGAATACTATTTATTTTATCTATGCTTGTAAATTGTGTATTTGTTCTTTTTTTTACTTACTGTTCACTTGCCTTTAATCATATTTGAACTTTCTCAGACTATAGTTTTTGCTGTGGTATATGAAGAAGTACTTAAAGTGTATGGAAAGCAAAGTTACAGTGATATAAAATTAGTGTCATTCATTTTTTTGTTATTCACATTGATGTTAAAATGACATTTTCTGATTTGTGGCATTACTTTTTATGTACTGCTGAAACACTGCTGGTCACTTTCAGAAGTTGTAGTGATTCTTTCTTTTCCAAGAAAGAATGTGAAACAAATTGGTTTTTTCAAGTCATTTTAATATTTTATAATATAATTTAAATAGATTTTTCACACTTTAAGCAATATCGTATCGCATATCGAATATCGCATTATACTACTGTTTATATTATCTATGCTTGTAAATTGTGTATTTCTTTTTTTTTTTCCTCTCTCTTTTTTTTTACTGACTGTTCACTTGCCTTTAATCATGTTTGAACTTTCTCAGACTATAGTTTTTGCTGTGGTATATGAAGAAGTACTCAAAGTGTATGGAAAGCAAAGTTACAATGATATAAAATTAGTGTCATAAATTTTTTTTGACTGTATGTTCACATTGATGTTAAAATGACATTTTCTGATTTGTGACATTACTTTTTATGTAATGCTAAAACACTGCTGGTCACTTTCAGAAGTTGTAGTGATTCTTTTTTTTCCAAGAAAGAATGTGAAACAAATTGGTTATATAATTTTCATTTTTAAATATTTTAAAATATAATTGAAATTGATTTTACACACTTTAAGAAATATTTTCACATTTTTCTTCAATATCGCACTGCCCTAATTCCTATGATGGCCAAGCTACATTTTCAGCATAATAACTCCAGTTTTCAGGGTCACATGATCCTTCAGAAATTATTGTAATATGCTGATTTGCTGCCCAATAAACATTTCTTATTACCAATCTTAAAAACAGTTGTGCTGACATTTTTTTCAGGATTTGTTTTGTTTAATCGAAAGAAAAAAAAACATTTAATTATTATTTTTAAAGATTATAAATGTCAATTTAATGCATCCTTCATTTGTGTACATTTACATAAATATACAGATATTGCTCCATATGTCAGTGATCAAAGCTTTACATTTTGCTCCTTAAACCTTCAGACAGTGATTTGAATTGCAGTCATACCAGTATCCTCTCGATAAGCATGTCATAGTACTGCTCCGTCAGCTGAGGTCGACTCAACACAAACCGTCCCAGCAGCTCGACCGCTGCTTCCCTCACACTGGTGGAGTTATCCATCAACCGGCCATGAACACCACGCTGCATATCAGACTACATAACAGACAAACATACCAGTTAAACGATGAACTCTGCCAGAAGTACCTACAGTGTTGTGCTGCCAGTTTAAATGCAGCTGCATTTCTTACCCTGGCCAGTATACTGGGGTCAACAGCCACCACCTCAGACAGACACTTCATGGCTTTGGTCCTGACAGCTATGGCGCTCTCCCCTAACACTCTCAGAATCTAAAAAAAAAATAGAAAATTAAGCATTTGTTAGGCACTTTAATACCAGGTGGAAACTGATTGTGTGTACATTTCAGACCAATCTTCTCACCTGTGTCAGGTAGATGTCAAAGCTCTGAGAGAAGGGTCTGGTGGAGGCCAAGTAGCGTACGATAAGGCAGGCGTCCTCATAGTCCACAGTGTCTGAATTCATCCTGCCAAAAGATTTATTTGCCATTAATAGCACAATATACCCATTATAACAGTCTTGACTGAGGCTGAGGATGTTACATCATTAAAGCAGAGATATTTGTGTGGTAATACCTGAGAGTAGTAAATTGATTGGGAGTTGATTTAATGACGGTGTGGAGGAATTTCTTGCGAGTTTCTGCACGCTGCATGATGTCTCCGGTGGTCTGGAGTTCTTTGGCGTGCTGCGTGCCCTCCGAGTCATCCTCCTTTTGATTCTGATTCCTCATGGCCTTCTCAGACTCCGTAGTGCAGTCTCTGAACCACTGAGCGATGTAAAATTTGCGTGCAAACTACAATACAAAATTAGATTGAGGAATTCTGACATGACAGTTTAAGAGCAGAAAAAAAGGACAAATTAGTTAATATCTGCAATAAGTAACACGCTAATGTTGTGCATGTCTCATAAAAAATTATCATCTACATAATTAACTACCATATGTTATTAGCATTAATAACAATATCACTTGTATTATTATTACTGATATCTCCTATTTGTAACATGCTACTTTTGTGAATTTTTCAAAAATTCATTATTATTATCATTAAAAAGCATCATTAATAATAATCAATTACAACAACAATTATTACTGATATCTGCTATGACAAACTAATTTTGTGCATGCCTATTATTATTACTGTTATAAATAATATTAATTAGCATAATAATTTAATTAATAATTTAATTATATATCATATAGTATCAAACAGAAGACAGCTTGTCATTTAATATTACTATTCTCTGTAGTTAATGGGATATTATTTTAAAAGTTAAGTGTCATTAAAGTTATAAATTAACACAAACGGAAATGTGAAACAAAATCAAAATTCTCTAGGTACATTTAAAGCCCCTATATATAATTTAAAGGATTCTCTCCACCAACTTTTACTAATAATTTTAAGCATAAACCTTTAGTGCAAAAGTTTTTTGGATAATGAGAAACAAATATAGAGTCTTGGATGTCTAAACATTTGACTGGTACTGGCTTGAACCCTTGTTTCACCTTAACAATTTATATTAAAACTTGAGAAATAATACATTTAATTTATTACATATTTGAATCATTTTAATTTTACAAATTTTGGTAACACTTTATTTTATGGTGTTACAGTGTAACTATATGAATAATTACTGAATAATATTAATTAACATACTATAGGTTTGGGATTTGGTTTAGAGTTGCTCACAATCATAACTAAATGACTCTTATTATTATAGTAAGTACAATTAAAATGCAACAAGGACATTAGATTTTTAAGAATATATGGGTAGCTTTTAGTTTCACAATCTACCCATCCATCCATACATACACTCAAACATAATTGTACACAAATGTATAAAAAATAAAATAGTAATCGAAATAAACCATATACAATAAATCATGTTTAAATTATATATAAATTGTGAAATAAAAAGAAACATTATTATATTTATAATTATTTAATTTATATTTGTTAATTTCAGAATTAAACTCATTTTGAAAATGTACACAAATCGGCTAAATCTCTATCATACATATGCATGTGTTTTTATGTTTAGCACGGTCAGGAAAGTTAATGCTCTGTTGCAGATAACGTGATTGGTTATGCCTTGTTCATACCAGTAATCTTCCCAGCAGGCTTAGCAGTAATTCTGAAGCAGGCCAATCGGGTTTGTTGACCGTAGACAGCAGATCCTGCACAAAATTCTCAAACAGCGGCCTGTAGTCTTCCTCACCCTGTTTACTGCCACACCTGAGACGTAGTTACAATACAGAATACACACACTGAGTACTACACACACACACACATTATTACTGATATCTGCTATGACAAACTAATTTTGTGCATGCCTATTATTATTACTGTTATAAATAATATTAATTAGCATAATAATTTAATTAATAATTTAATTATATATCATATAGTATCAAACAGAAGACAGCTTGTCATTTAATATTACTATTCTCTGTAGTTAATGGGATATTATTTTAAAAGTTAAGTGTCATTAAAGTTATAAATTAACACAAACGGAAATGTGAAACAAAATCAAAATTCTCTAGGTACATTTAAAGCCCCTATATATAATTTAAAGGATTCTCTCCACCAACTTTTACTAATAATTTTAAGCATAAACCTTTAGTGCAAAAGTTTTTTGGATAATGAGAAACAAATATAGAGTCTTGGATGTCTAAACATTTGACTGGTACTGTTATTTCCAGGTGTTACATTAACCATAGGCAACCTTACATGCACTTTAGATTTTGATACTTGATCAGAGAAAAACTCATTGGCTGACCCCAACTCTACATAAAGACCATGGGACATGAAGAGCATCCAAGCTGGACTCACTGTGAGGGCAGGGTCTGTTTCTGCATTTTCATCCATATAACCCAGTAAGGCTTTCTGTAGCCGCTGAGTCTCGTCTCCCTCTGAGCTCTAAACGCACATAGAAAAAGCATTGGGTAAAAACACATTTAAAATTGAGTGTTTATGAGATGCATGTGTAAATGTAGATACATGTGCACATACCTCTCTGATGATGCGGTTGATGGCTTTCTGGTCCATCCTGCTGGTGACAGCATCTTTCCTCAATCTGGCTGCTACAGTACCCAGATAGTCCAGTGATGCTACTCGCAGTGCCATCTCTGTCTGCTTGTTACTGAATTGGTGCACCTGGGGACAGAGTATGAAGGGTCAAGGGTCATTGAAGAAGAAAGAACAACTCTATGTGTTTCACTGCAATCACTTATTGTATTTTCTTTTATTGTCGCCTCTGGCTTGCTTAGTTGGGGACACTTCATTTCCAGCGATATCGTTGACATGATTGCAAAGATACTATTTAAACTGAGCTGGATGTTGACATCACTGAATTCAATGATGAACTGTCTTTAACTGAAAAATTTGTGTTTACTATTGTCATTTTGCATTATTGACACTATTTTCCTAATTAATGCTGTTCAGTTGCTTTGACACAATCTGTATTGTTAAAAGCGCTATATAAATAAAGGTGACTTGACTTGGCTTGTTCGAGAAAGAACACGAGCTCAGGAGGGATGTTCTGACTTCTTGAGGAAGACAGAGAGGAAGTTCTGAGCCGTCCGTCTGGCCGTTTCATATGAGTTGGTGATGAACACATCGTCGTCAACCTGAAAAACGGTTTAATCCACATTGTTAATATAGCCTGCATTTAACAACAGACTTCACAGCAATAGTACAAATGTGAGACTATCTCGAGTGGTGTTGGGTGAGTATCTAGTACCTTTTTGTGATCGTCTTCAGAGTCTTTCTCAGAGGGCAGATGGACCACGCACTGAATTAGTTGCAGCACCAGAGCACTAACCATCTGAATGAATATGGGCTCACCCTCGGCATCGCTACTGTTCAACCTAAACACACAGACAGATTCGACATGCAGGAAACACTTGTGTTTATCAATAGTTCACAGTCAATAGTTTAGGCAGAAATGCCATCTGAATTTAGGCAGTCATATCAATACCTGAAGTTCCTGAGGCTGCGTTTGCTGGTGGGCAGTCTGGCCAAAGAGGTGAAGATCTCCTCTAGAATTAACTGTCTGTGCTTCTCGTAACGAGAGAACACCTGAGAAAAAGAGAGAAGTGAAATGCCTCCATTAGTGTCATGTTTTGACAGTTTAATTCATAAAAAAAAAGTTTGGTTTTCTTTGGTCGCAAGAGAAGAAAACAAAAGCCGAATTCCAGATTTTAAGCCAAAATAAGTATTTAAGGACAATTTAAGGATCAGAATGGGTAATTTTGGAAAAAACAGCTAAATTAATTTTGCTGTTATAATGTAATTTTATAAATTAATAATTTTATTATATTAAGAGCATTATAATTTATTTAATAATTAATTACATTTTGTAATTATTTTAACTCATTTTGGTATAAAATAAGAAATAAAAGAAAAAAGAGAGACATTCCTGACAGAAGGAAGCGTGAAAATGGCTAAATAGTTTTATTGAATTTTTAAAATAATTTGATTATATTTATAGGATTATATATTTTATAATTATAAATCTCTTCGTAATTTTTTATGAAAAAAGCACACGGTTGTGCAGCTAATCTAAGAAAACATACCGCCGTCACCAGCTTTATGGCACACAGCTGCAGCTCACTGACATTCTCCACAAAGAAAGGAGTAATGCCCATCGAAGAGACCTGCAGAAGAACAAAAACACAGCGCGATACAACATACAATAAAAGCAAATAAACTATAGGAGCATACAAAAATATGCTGCATCGATCAGTTCCTACCTGCAATATTGTTGTATCGGTCAACAGCTGAATTTCCAACAGCTCTGAGATGTTGCTGACGACGTCACACACTTTGTTATAGAGCATGATGATGACTCTCTGCTTGGCGGTGGAGCACTTGGCTCGCTTTGCTTTGGAGCTCAGCATGGAACCTGAAACCACACATGGTTCATACCACATCAGGATGTTAGGAAGTAGCTCATTTACAAAGTTTGACATTTAATTTTATTAAATGTACTGGTAATTTACAACACTGGAAGAAAACGCCAACGTAAAATGTGTCAAAAAAAGAAAATTATTATCATCATTATTAATTATAATAATACCAAATTTAGTTCATTTATAAAAGATGTAATTTTAATCATCTATAAAAACATTTAAAATTGCTCAAGTTTTTAAATATAAATACATTTCTACGAATTCTGTCAGAATAACCAAAATACTGCACTTTTATTTGTGATTATTCTTTATCAATATGTCAGACAATTAATGCAACATACTTGTTTTCCTTATGACTTTTTTTTCTTACTTGAAGGGTACATCATTTTTCGTCATACATTTGTCTAAAAAATCATTCAGGCTTTAAATTCAGTGAAAAGTTCTAAAGCAAAATCTTTTTTTATATATATTTTATGGTTTTGTACCATTTAGACACATCAGACTTGGTGTGAACAGGCCTTCAGCAGAAATGAAGTGATTTTCAAAAAAGGTGAAAAAATGTCAGTAATTTTATCCCCCCCCTTTTTTATTTGTGATGTCAAAAAATGTATTCAAAATAATTTTATTTTTTACTTATAGGGTACATCCTTTTTTTCTTAAAATTGTCAAACAACTCATTTAGACATGAAATATAGTGAATCATTTTAGAGCAAAATATTTTATGATTTTGTATCATTTAAATAAATCAGACTTGGTGTGAACAGCCCTTCAGCAGAAGTGAAGAGTCTCACCTCCTTTAGGGTCAATTCTGTAGACCGGATCATACTGTGGGTAAAGAGTATTCTGCAGGTGGAACTTAGTGTACTGCAGAACTCTCTCGATCACGTCTTCAATGTACACGGCTTTGGGCATGTGTGATGAAGTCATGATGTTCAGTGCTGTCAGACACGCATCCCCTGATTTGGTCACACGCTCCATGATGAGATCCCGCCAGAGACGCTCCTCGTCCTCTCCATCGTTATCCTAATGAAGACCAGAGAGAGAAGACTGAGGGAAAGCACTGAACTACAAGTAAAGGCATCATTTGAAGAGTGAAAGTGTCACTCGAAAAACCAACATGATTAAGTGATTTTTACATGGTTCATATGTGTAGAAAGACTGGATCCATCCAGAATGTTCTTCTCCAGAATATTCAACAGTTTCACCAGTTTATCAGAAGGAATCTGGGCATTAGAGGAAAAAAAACAACAGAATGAGGTATATAGCCAGAGTGGATGTTACAAAAAACAGGAGGGTTTTTTTTTTGCTCTCTGATATTTCTGTGCACTATATAAATGTACTCTATACAGACCATTTATAATATTACAAAAGATTTATATTTCAAATGAATGTTGTACTTTTTAACTGTTCAAAGAATCCTGAAAAAAATATTCCACCAAAATATTAAGTAGCAACTGTTTCCAACAATGATACTAATAAGAAATGATTCTTGAGCAGCAAATCAGCATACTAGAATGATTTCTAAAGGATCATGTGACACTGACGACTGGAGTAATGATGCTGAAAATTCAACTTTGCATCCCAGAAATAAATTACATTGTAAAACATTCAAATAGAAAACAGTTATTTTAAATTGTAATAATTTCCCACAATATTACTGTTTTTACTGTATTTTTGATCAAATAAATGCAACCTTGGTAAGCATAAGAGACTTTTTTCAAAAACATTTATTTTTTAAATCAATAATTGTGTCTGTAACGCAACTAACGTGCACTTAAACTTTTTCATCATACAGATGCTCTTTATACATGTACTATTATATAGATTTCATGGGGCTTTTAACAATTGCATAAAAGGAGTAGTATACAATAACGTATCTCTTACCCTGCAGGTGATGCCCATGGCTTTTATCTTAGCAGATTCACTACCCAATTCATTTAGCTGCTGTTTCCCTAACAACAGCTCCTGAGGGATCTCATCATCATCTAAGAACAAACAAATGTGTCAACACAGAATAGTCAAAAACGGAAAGAGATGGTACGTAAAGTCCTGCATCTGCAAAAAATAAAAAATAAATAAATAAATAAATCTGAAATACTACTAATATCTACTAGTTTGCAAAAATTGCTGATTAAAGAAAAATGCTGATTAAAGAATATCATATTCATATTCAAATCATAATTTGTGAGAAAGTGTGATGCGTTAGAGCAAAACAGACACTATTTTTGGAAACAGCACCCTAAAATTAATAATAAACAATTATTGGATTTAACTGAGCAAATATCATACAGGGTGGTCAAATCTACAAAAAAGGGGATATATTGCCGGATCCTGACCATTAAAGTCCACATCCTCAAGATTCTCCAAGATGTTGTCAATACTCAACGAGAACCTCTTAAAAGTGGAAGAGTCCATCAATTCTGCAGAAAAAAAGTGGAAAAATAATGAGCATCATTCTGATGGGGGAAATGCTACAAAGGTGAGAAGGTTGAGAAAGAGGTGGAAGGGTTTACCTTCAGGTGTTAACTTGGGCTCATACGCTTTCCTCCTCTTCTGCTTCTCCTTCATCTTTAAACGTCTTGCAACTGAAAGAAAAAAACTAACTCTAACTCAACCACTAATAAACCATTTAAACAAATTTCAAACTAATCTCAAATATGATGGCACTATAGCTACTCTACGGTTTGGAGCAGATCTTTGATTTCATAATTAAATGCTCAAAGGGATAGTTCACCCAAAAAGGATATAAAATTATGTAAACATTACATCAGTTACAGACCTTTTCGGCTCTTTTACGTTTTGGTTACCTGGACATTTAATGGAGGGACAGAAAGTCTTACGGGTTTGCAATGACATGAGAGTGAGTAAATGATGACAGAATTTTCATTCTAACCGTCACTAAGGCTGGGGGGAGGTGAATCTTGGTCAGAGTCGTCATATCGGCTGCCTGAGCCTCTGCGTGTGTCGTAGCTTCCTCTTCGATGCTCTCCTGAATTCCTCCGGTCGCGCTCCTCAAACTCCCACATTCTGTCACGATCCTTCTTCTGACGTTTACGAGATGCTGGGGCAGAAAACAGAGACCATAAATGTAAAGAAAGTTAAGTAAATAAAACAAGAATTTTTGAGGAACATTTTGAAAATACTGTTTCAGCTTTTCTACATCAATTTCACATTTAATTCAATGTTACTTGCAGTTTCTTTGTAATTACTTGTGAAATTTACTAGCAATTTATGAGTGAAAAATCAGGGCAAGGGGGCATCAGTTTGGTTAAAATTTTTACTTGTTCCATTATTGTTTTTTTTAATGGATGCATTGGAGTTGATCATTAAAGGGTCACGAAACCTCCGGTTTCAGCACTGGTTAGTTCTCACCACAGTTTTAAAAAATGCTAAAAAAGTGGGCATGGTGCGCAGCGGAGCGGAGGAGGGGGAAGAGGGGAGACAGACAACACACACAGTTCTGACAGTTTCATTTCGTTCCCATCGAGTTAAAATCACAAATAAATCCACAGCCATTTGCACTCAGCATCGAAAACATATATAATATGAACGCGCTGTTGCACCTCTGAAAACTTTTAAGGCTTATTCTGTGGCGTTTATATAAGCCTTTTGACGGGTTGTGTCACAAAGCTGTAAAAACAGTTATGCTCACCAAGTGAATGAATCGCATTTGTGCCAAACTCTTATTACAAAGCAAAAACAAACACACTTCTTCGATCCATGAACGTTTCTCTCAGTTATTGTGCGCAATGTTCATCTCACAGACTCTGGAATGTCTGTCATAGCAAATCAACACATGCTGTTGTGAATAATTAAGAGAAGCGTCTTCTCATAGAATAAGAACACGCATTCTCATGAATAATTTAATAGACACCGATGCGTCATCGATGTACTATTAGACAATTGCCACGTCACAAATTGTGACGTCAACACAATGTACATTTTAAACCCGGAAGATGAAAATAGCGCAAAAAAGCTTAAAATTAACCAGTTTTCTCCAACAGTTAAAATTATCGGATGATAACATTGTCTTCTATGATGTGCAACAAAAACACCTCTGCTAAAATCTCAGAAAAAGTAGTCTGGGGTTTCATGACCCTTTAAGGCAAATCAGTCAACAAGTGTCCAGCATGTACATGAAATTACTACTGTTTAAAAAGCATCCCAGGATGCACCTTGTGAACTTAGTTAAGACAATGTCCAGTTAGGTTAGGATACATAATGAAAAACCCGATTAATATTGCATTTGATTGACAGATTTGGTGTTCCTCTTTGTGTGGAAGCAGACCGTTATCATTACAGTGATGCTACTCACAGAAATCCTCGTCCTCTGAGCTGTCCTCCGCATATTTAGGCCTCTCATTGACAGTGCTGCGTTTGCGTTTGTTCATCTTTACCCGCTCACACAGAGGCATGGTGGACTCGATCTCTGCCAGCAGCTCAGGAGGAAGATCCTTCAGCACTGACGGGTCTATTCCACCTGTGCACAGAGACTTACGTTTAACTTGCATTGCCTACAGCACACACAAGGTTTGAAATCCTCTCCTTTATATTATCAACTGTAATTGGGACTAAACAAACAACATCTCTCAATGGTTCTAGCAAGCTTAAATAAATTGACCACTAGGAATGTCAAAAGTACCGATACTTCAGAATACTAGCAGAAGTAATAACCCAAAACCCAAATTAAAATCCAATTTATGTAGCGGCAACATGCAACATTTAATAAATGTATACTTTAATAATCAGACACCAATGTCAAAAATATTGAGCGTGCCTATTACAATAATTACAGTAATATCCAAGAAGAGCAGAAAGACTGTTTTTGTTAAGTTGGTCTGCGAATCTTGATAGTTTTATACTAAAATAAAATGAACAAATTTAAAGGGCCATAAGTTTGTTGCAGGTGACAATAGCCTCATGTACGTGTGAATGTTTTCCTTTTTTAATTTAGCTGTTTGTTTCTTTGTTACGGAATCTGGAAATAAATTCATATTTTTTTTACATTTAACTACTCTTGCATTCTTTCAATTATTCAATATTTACTTAACTGATATTGCTGTCAGACACCTGAAAACATACACAGTTTTTCAGGAATAAATAAAAAAATCTTAATAGAGAGATGTTGAATAAATGAGTATGTTCAAAAGCATGTTAAATTTTACTGTGGAAAATTGGTTTGGCATTATAGTGTGATATCGTGAGTGACGGTTGCTGTTTTTTATAAACAAACTTAACAAAACAACGCTTAGACTATCTGAAAAATCTGAAATAAAATACAAATATTGGATGAAAAAATTAAAAATGTACACAAGTTAGAAATGATACCTTGGCATTTAACTGAAATAAAATAAGTGTAAGTTAAACGACTAAAATAAGGGACTTTAAAAAATAAAAGTTATATAGAAATATTTGCAAAAAAAACAAAAGCTAATAAAAACGACAAAAGCGCTAGGGCTGTCGCGATTCGTTGATTTTATTTGACTATTCGATTTTTAAAAATCCTCGACTTCATTTTGCTTGCGTCGACTAACCGGCAAAATACCGGAAGTGGCGCATTTCACAGACGAGAATGTATAAAACACATTATTAGTCTGTTTTCCAAGGCTGCATGATATATTAAACCCATTTAAAAATCATAATTAAGCATAATTGTTAATTCACAAACGCTACGATTTAATTAAACGATTTAATTATATGCGATGCAGTGTTCTAATACACTATATGCGCTTTAATTATTTACATGCGTGTAGGTTAAGTACATGCGTCACACAGCGGCTCCGTTCACAGTAGTTCCACAGAAACTGTTATCATTTACATGTGTGGAGCGTCTCAACCTCCATCTCTGCATGTTGTTGTGAGTTTGGGTTTATCATAACGTTCATCTGGGAATGCAACATGTGCCATTTCATCAGATTTGTAAGGTAAATCATTTATAAATCTACGCAAACACATCACGGTTTCAAAACGTTTTGATGTCCACATATTCATTTAATTACAATGGCTATAGCATTTCTGTCCTAAAGAAATGGCCAAATATTAAACATTAAGTGGACATTTGAATGAAATGGTGCTTGGTCAATATTAAACAAGGATTAGATCGCACCGTAATGTGTAAAAACAATCGTCAGGCCGTTGGCGCCCCCTGCAGTCCTTTGTTGTAATGCGTAATGTACATTAGCTCTATTGTTTATAATACATTATGTATTTTAACAATTTTGTTCAATAAAACCATATGATTTCTTGCTTTTGATACTTTATTTGAACTAATTATTATTGCTTCATTGCTATTATATATGTATTTTAAGTAATTTTAAAGGCTATTGTTCACTTACATCTATTTTTATTACCACAAAAAAATTTATTATAATTATAGGGCACTATGAAATCAGTTTTATTTCCAAATTCAGTTTTTTTCATTTTTCTATACTCTGTTTTAATGGTTAAATTAAATTGTATTAATCAAAAAGCCTGTCTAATTAATTGATTTTATTTTTTTTTTTAAAAAGAAGAAATTTCAGAAATACCGCACATTTACATTTTTCTCCTAAATAAATAATCCTTTAAAACGTTTTTTGATTATAATTTTATTAGTAGTAGACTAGAACACGTGGATATGTTGTCATTCTTACACTATTATACTCAATGGACTATGAGATGGATACTTGCTTCTTGCACTTTATGTTGCACTTTACTTTTGGATTTCATTTGGTTTAATGAAATATAGTTTAATAAAATATTCTTAAGTAAAATTGTTGATTTTTTTTGTGGGAAATTAATCGTTTAGAATAGATTAATTGATAAATTAATCGAAATAAAAATAGTCGTTAGTGGCAGCCCTAAAAAGCACATAAAATTACTAAAACAAAATTTAAAAATTGAAATGAAAAGCAGAATTATAAACAGAAGCTCATTCAAAATATGAATAAATACTGTAATACTAAATAATACTAAAATAAAACTGATCATGACAATTATATCAACAACTGTTTAAAAAAAAACGTCAATCAATAACACACCAGCAATTAATATTACTTTTATAAGAAATAAATACAACCATTTAATTAATAGTACAATTATTACTGTACAATTATTTTGTATTCTATAAATCTAACCCATCACACAACAAATCTGGCAATAAAAATGAGACACTATTTCAAAACGTATGACAACCCCTTATAAGAGCCATTTCAAACAAACATTTAAAAAAAAAAAAAACCTGGTAACAGTTCAGCTCTTACCAGCAGGAAAAGTCAAGAAACATTTCGCATAACTACCCTTTTACAAGCAGCCAAGTAATACATATCCCTGCCTGGCTGTTCATTCAATTCGAAAGGAAAAACCTATTCTCAGAGCAGGAAATGGTTATTCAAACTGGAAAGAGTAAAGATAAAAGGAGTTCCCCTACCTTTCCCAGATCTCCCAGAGGAGAGCCTGTTCTTGCCAGACTTGGAGCCACGCGAGTCTCTCTCCCTCATGAGCCTCTGAACCTCATCGATGGAGAGTTTCTGCAGAACAACCACAGGCTTGACAGTCTTCTTCATGTCCACCTCTGGTTCCAGTCTCTCCAGCCGCACACACGGCTGCTTCCAGCCTTCTGGAATATCTCCTGCTCCGAGATCTTTCCTGATTTTGGGAATGGTGAAGTTTTTAAGCACTCCCGAACTGGTGTTTTCTCCCAGCATGTACGGAGGAAGCTCTGCTGGTTTACTCCCCGACTGAGCCGCACACTGCGTGCCGACATCACCGTGCCGACCCTCGGGTCTGTGCTTCTGCCGCGGGGTATCGGGCTGATGTCGGTGTTCTGGAGCATGGTCGTGCTTGTGTTTGAGGGCCTTCGGAGTGACCCCTTCCTGTGGCTCCTGAGGCCAGCGCTGAGCCTCGCTGGCAGGGATGGGCATGCCCATGCAGGTGTCCTCCACTCTGCCCGCTTGCTCCAAGCTCACTTGCAGGCCTGGGCGGCTGGCGCTGGCACTGGTGCTGGCGGCGCTGGCCTCCTGAGGGGCGAGCCTGTGCCCTGCGTTAGCCCCTCCTCCTCCACCTGGAGCCCCAGAGCCTGAACCAGCTGTGCCAGCTGCGCCAGGCTCCTGCGGGTGAGAGTCCTGTTTGCGCTTCTTCAAAGGTTTATCTACAGAGAGAAAGAGATCAGATTCATAATTTGTATCATGAAAATTGAGGGAGGGTTCTTATTAAAGAAAATAATGTCAATACATGGGTCATTAAGGCATAACAGGCTTCATTTTCTTTTCAAAAAACAAATTTTTGGCATTTTTGGCTTTATTTTTATAGGACAGTTTAGAGGAGGCATAGTGGGAGAGAGCGAGAGGAGGGTGGGATTGGGAAAGGTCCTCAAGCTGGGTTTCAAACTCGGGACTCCCGTAGACTTATAAATAACTATATTCCATAACATAAAAATAATAATCTGCATGCATCATGTATGTCTGCTATATTTATCAGGCAAGTTTCTATATCAGTGCACATATCCGTTTTGGAGACAATGTGTTTACTGACATCCTGCATCATACCTTTATCCTGCACCTCTTTAGCACCACGGTCCGTCTCCATGGCCGCTTCACTTTCCATCCTTTCTATTGCAGCAAGAGCCTCAACAAGCTCTCCTTCTGGGTCTGAACCGGGGTACATTCCCCCAAACTCCACCTCTGCTGGCCTGGCCCGTGACTGCCTCAGGTTCAGCTTAGTAGGGTCTTTTGTTGGCGAGCCCACAATATCATACACAGCAGCCTTATCGGCCGGGTCCCGCTCTCCCTCGTTAGGGTTCAGACCGCGCTGCTTGTCTGGGGAGCCCAGATGCATTTCTTGAGCCCCATCGCAAGGAGGAGTGTACGGTGGAGATGACTGCAGTATGTGAGACGTGAAACCTGTCCTCATCTGATCCTAATGGTTTTCAGAGGAATACACAATAAGAACAGCTTCTTAACTCTTTCCCCGCCATTGACAAGTTATCTCATCTTTTACAAGAAAATGCTTCCCTGCCAAAGACGAGTTTTTACAGCTTTCCGTGTTTTCACTGTTATACACTCGGGGGCGCTATTTCGCATCTTCTGAACGAGTACAAAACCTCCCGAACAAAAACACAAACAGGACAGAGAAACTAGCGATCTCTATGTAAACAGATGCCTATGAAAAATAATGCGATCATCAGCAATAGACAGCATATAAATGAAAACTGCATAATGTTACAGAGTAAAATGTTGATCCAGGAAGTGGTATATGTCGCTGCAAGTTTTGGAGGTGTTGATGGAAGCGATTTACTGGATTTATGCTTTGATAATCGTACTGAATATTATCCAGATGTAGTTTTTGATAAAAACGTGATTCTCAACTTTTTGCTCAAAATTATGCATTTTTTATGAAACCTACCTATATTCAAGTGTTGATAAAAAAAAAAGAATGCTTTAAGCTAGAATAAAACAGATTTTTTTGTTTAAAAGTAGAGGCTTGATCTTTATTTTGGTGTATTATTTGGTGCATATTCAAATATTCATACAGCAAAATATACTGGAGGCCATCAAATTTTTGTGAAAATTATCAAAATCGTTGGCGGTGGCTGGCAACTTTTTAAAAAAATGCTGGCGGGGAAGAGTTAAAAGAAAAGTGGTCGACCAAAATGTAAATTTTTGTTTTGATGGCCAATGCCGATATCCGATATACATGTAAAATATATAATATAAATTTTTTTTAAAAGTTTAAAATAGTCAAAAGTATAATAAAATACATACATAGCAATTGTTGAAATTAAATGTATAATATATTTTACATCACATTGCAATGACGAAATTAGAAATCATTTGAAAATGAATATTGGAAAAACATCTTAAACTTAAAATTGCAAATTAAACAGATTTGATGGCAAATTCGTGATTCTGTAATCCTATTATAGAATCATAACCAACAGTGCCATGGAAATTTTTTTCTTTTCTTTCCAAATAAATCTGCAATATAAAGCTAATATATTACAGTAAAAATGCATAGCACCTGTTAAAATTAAATATATATTTATTTCCATTTTTAAACATTATATTTTTGTATTCCATTTACTTTGTTTAACAGAACGGGAGCTCCATGCACACGTGCTGGCATTCTCAGCGTTGTCAAAATAAAAGTCCCAATATTCTGACACATCAGCCAAACTGGCGACTGTTGGTCGACTATTAATGTAGAACAAACTTTTAAATACCTTATTCTCGTGAACATTTCTCATGCCTCCTGGAATCATCGGGCTTGCTACTGAACCTGGAAAAAACACACAGTTTAAATACGCCAGAAAACAGACAAAGGTCTCAATCAATGGAAGAGATTCTCTATAGATCTGCCTATGTTTGCATCTTTGTGCAGACCTTGCTGTAGGTGCTGGTGTTGACTGTAGGCTGGAGGGTGTGGGTACTGTCTGTAGCCGGTAGCAGGGCTCTGAGGGGCATAAGGGCTGGGCACTGGGCTGCTCTGCTGAGGCAGAAACCGTCCACCAGAACCAGACTGCCCTGGCACAAAACGCCTATCATAAGGAACAGGAAGGGACATGGTCAACAGAGAGTTTTTACTAAATCTACTTGCCAACACTGATTTGTAAAAAAAAAAAAAACAATAAAATAAAATAAAAAAAATTCAAAATATTTAACAATTATTTTTATATTTTTTTTAAGGAATAAACAACATTTTTATTTCAAACATAGAAAACAGTTATTTTAAATTGCACTGTATTTTTGATTAAATAAAAGCAGCCTTGGTTAGTAGGGCTGCAACAAATGATTATTGTGATCATTGATTGATTTATTGATTGATTGATTTATGAAATACATAAATTGTAATTGCAAATTAAATTGTAATTTTGTCTAAAATCTAATACTCATGATAAATACCACTAATCATAATTATTATAAATTCTAAAACAATTCCAGTTATTTATAATAAAGTTATTACTAAATAAAATTAAACAAAATAAGAAATGTTACTATTGTAATATTTAAATGTAAAACGTTACACCAACAAGCTGTTATTTTATCTGAAAGCTACACAGAGCCCTTCATGTTTCTCTTTACAAGCCTGGAAAGATGGTTGGTGCAAGTTGTGTTTCCAAATGCATGTTATAAGAGATCCAAACTCAGAGCAGATGTGTAGATTAGTATTTACTGTGAAATGAGCCTCACTAAGGTACTGAAAACACCAGATTGTGAGCTGCTCACGTGTAAAAGTGTACAGTGCCTCACTTCACTCGGAAACATGCAACGCTGTTATTTAATTCAATCGTAGCCTTTTCAATTTGATAATCGCACTATGCAACAACAAAATCTTGTTTTTACAAGAAATCAATGTTTTTATGAATAATCATGACATTTATATCTGTTTTTCCTTAGCACAGCATTAATGGGTTAATACTAAATCAAATACATATTAAAGGGTTAGTTCACCCGAAAATGAAAATTAGCCTGTGTTTTACTCACCCTCGAGGCATCCTAGATGTATATGACTTTCTTGTTTCAGACGAATCCAGTCTGAGTTATATTAAAAATTGTCCTGGCTATTCCAAGCTCTATCATTGCAGTCAGCGGGTGTTGCAGTTGAACAGTCCAAAAGTAGTCAAATAAAGCACACGCAACCATAATAAAACGTGCCGCACACAGCTCCGGGGGGTGAATAAAGGCCTCCTGTAGCGAATCCATATGTTTTTGTAAGAAAAATATCCATATTTCAAATGTAATAAACACTTTTCTCTCACTTTCGGTTTCTGTCATATGCGGAAGCCGTCCCAGCGGATGACATAGTATGTCGGCTAGGGTTGGGTACCGAATCCCGGTGCCAATATGGATATGTTTCTTACAAAAACACATGCATTCACTACAGGAGGCCTTTATTCACCCCCCCAGAGCCGTGTGAGGCACGTTTTATTATGGTTGCGTACGCTTTATTTGACTACTTTTGGACTGTTCAACTGCAACACCCGCTGACTGCAATGATAGAGCTTGGAATAGCCAGGACAATTTTTAATATAACTCAGACTGGATTCATCTGAAACAAGAAAGTCATATACACCTAGGATGCTTCGAGGGTAAGTAAAACATAGTCTAATTTTCATTTTTGGGTGAACTAACCCTTTAAATCATACACGGTATTATAAAACATACTGCATGATGGCTTTGTTAATAACAGCAGTTGTTGGTTAGTTTCGTACAATGAAAACAAACTGAATGTGTCACAAATAGTATCACAAGTTACTCCACATAAAAACTGAATTAGAAAGCAGGCTCACCCAGAGGGGCTGTGGGACATAGAGGCCTGGTAATTGGCAGAGGCTGGACTTCCCTGCATGGAGCCATGTGTGATTTTATACGGCGGTGCCATTGACTGCTGACTTATACCTGTGAAATACAATAGTGTGAAAAATAGTCTGGACGAGAAGCAATAGGCAGAAAAGCTACTATAACAACATAACATCACTTGAGATGGTTACTGAAAGTTTAAAGACTGGCAAGGTTCCAATGAGCCAGGTCAAACCATTACTGCATCTTTGCTGCTATATAGGAAAGTAGCAAAGAATTAAATAATTCATGCATTTAGTCATTGCAATGAAATCACAGAACTTAAAACATTTGATATTTATTAAATAGATATTGAATATTTATACAAGTTATATTATATGAAAAAAGTGTTATATCTAATATTTTTTTTAATGATTCTTTCGTGCATTTTTCTGTGCCATTTCCATTACCACATGTTAAAGTATGTTGTCCAAAAGTTGACAAAGCTTTCTATTTATTTTTAGGCACTAAACCTTTTTTTGTTTTGTTTTTTAAACAGATGAGTTTGATATGCTATGCAAACTCTTAATTCACACTACACGTGTTCTGGCACAAATCAGCTTGGATTGTTTTGCAATGCTGTCAATGTAATGCAGACTTTGTAAAGAGGCTTTTGCTGATGAATGGTGCAGTGGCAACAATATTACATGTGGAAAATATATCAGTTTATATGCTTTTTATATGAACAAAGTTCCTTGATTTTATATACTGATTGTTTTGGCATACATAAGAAACAAAATCAAATTAATTATTTCTCCTTAACATACACATTATGGGGAAATAATTCACTTGGTTTTGTTTCTTTTTTCTCTGTTGTTTTTTTATAACTGAAGGTCAGAGAAAAACAATGCCTCTTTCTGTAGTTCTGATGGGAAAATCACCATGTTCTAGGGAGAGGAAAGGGTGGCAAAGTCTTATCAGAAGGACAAAAACCGCAAAGATAACTAAACATTCTTCAGGTAGACTTTTACCTGCTTGGGTGAAAGAAACCTGACAGCAAACTAGCAACCCAAAAGTAAGCATTGTTACAAGTGCAATCTGTCAAGCTTGTAGTAGTAGAAGTTTCCCTATGTGCTTGGATTGACTCTTACCCGCCTGGGCCGGATACTGGGGAGTGCTCGGTGCGGTCTTATTCCTGAAGATGTTGGGGTTCCTAGACAGCAAAAGCTGCAGCAGCACTGGTACATCTCCCTCCAACTCATCACTGCCAAGGCTGTCCTTCAGCTCTCTGTGGAGAAATATATCAGAGTTGACGAACTCAAACACCACTGAAAGAATACACAGTGCCCTATGATTTCCACAATGCGTAAAACGCTGTAAGAATTGCAGAACCCAGTTATAAATATGGAATTCATTGTATAACACCAGACTGTCAGATAATTTGGCAAAATTTGAATTAATAAATCAAAAGAAGGGCTGTGCACTTAATCAAATTGTGATATAGAGTGGTGGAACTATGATGCGACTTTGTAGGCAAAAACCCGGAAGCGAATTAGCATTTTAGCACTTCCGGTTCCATCGTCCCAGAGTCAATGGGTTTTTTGAATCTTTCAAAATAAATGTAAAGACAGAGCCCGAAAGGGGAACAGAGTCGCGTGACAGACACAGTGATGAAGCTGCTATGTGTTTGCAGTACACAAGCCACGGTTAAGACAGCTGACTCCACTGTGATCGATCGATCGATCTCTCTCTCTCTCTCTCACACACATGATGTGCAAAACTCCGCATTTGAACAGTCAATAGCAAATACTTAAACTTAAAACAGTAGCTGATTCAGAAGCGCCAGATTGTCATAGCAAAGTCAGAATTACCTCCTCTCCTAGGTTCATGAAACGGTTGTCCATAAAATGCATTGCTGTTCTGTTGTAAGTAATCTTAAAGATTCCTAAATGCATCTACTTTTGGAAGGCCAAATAAAGTGCTTTTGCTTTCGCCTAGAAACACACAGCGTCTCCCTGACATGCTGCTTCAACACTAACTGCGGTTACTGAAACCACGCCGCCTTTCTTTACGGTCACATTTGGGCGGCATTATGCAAATTAGGGCTGGGTATCGTTCAAAATTTTTCAATATCGATACCGATACCTCGACTTCGATACCGGTTCCTGAACGATACTTTTTCCGATACCAATTTTATGAAATCAATTTTAACAAGATTACATTATCTAAAAAAAAAAAACTTTGGTTTTATTTTTCAGCTTGTTGATGTTTATACAAACTTAAAGACTCATCTCCTGAGCCACTGCACAAAATGAAGGAACAAAATGTAACCAACACAACAAATCAGTGCAAAATAGTTTTAATAAAGCTCAAATAGTCTTCAGTTTACACATCTGTTAGGCTACATTTACACTAGGTAGTGTTTGTTTTAAAACGCATAGCTCAGACAGAATCATGATTTCTATTTATTTTCCACTGATTTACTGATGAGCATTAGCAGTTTCCAGCGCTGTCTGCTTGTGTTCTCTCTTCCATGATCGCTGCTCTGACTCAGAGGTAATAACATATTTAATTTCAGCAACATTACATGGCCAAAACACACATTAGACGGCAATCTGAAGTTATTACAAACACTCAATGGTGGTTTAAAGTGAGTTTTGAACGGCCTGGAGTCCCAACCACACATCAAGACATTGTTCAGATCATTAGACATTTGACATGTTTCCATCCTGAAATCTCATTTGGTTTGAACTAATTTTTTTACGCACCTCATCCCAAACCTTCCGTTGCAAATTCCAAAACGTCATTTTAGAGCTGATAACAGAGGCTTGAGCCATTGATATGCAGGCTTACGCAGTTATTAATGCAGTCTAATGCAGTTATTAGAGAGAGGGAGAGAGAGAGATTAAGCGCGTGTGAATGCCTGCGTCTGTGCATCTCTCAGCAGCGTTCAGCAGCAGTCTACTAATAGCTAATCTTTAAGTTAAACTCCTTCATGAACCTCGCTACTGAGAAATGTCATGTAGCTTTTCAGCTGCGAAACTATTTTACTGATAAATTTGAGGTGCAGCGCTGACAAGAAGTTTCTGTTCACTCGATGGTATCGAGGCAATTCGGTCGGTGCCTAAAAAGTATCGAACTCGATACCCAGCCCTAATGCAAATATTTACACACAGTGAGGTAGATATGTGGGGGCGTGTTAGAACGAGCCGTTTTAGGGGGGGGCGTGGCAGAGTCTTAACTTTGATAAAGAATATCTCTTTGGTTTTGAGACTTTAGTCTTTGCAACTTCAGGGATCTTATCTATGCACACTCAGCTTGTAACACTCCAAGGAGAAAGGAAAACTTGAAATCGCATCATATGACCCCTTTAAAGGTGCAATAGGTGATTGTCTACAGAAAATTTTTTTGTTATGCTGGTTGAAAGTCTCTTCACATCCCGATAGCAATTATTAAGTTAAGTGGTCTAAATGTATTTATCTATTCTGTGGAAGGCGTAGGACCAAGAAATGTTTGTCCAATCAAAACGCTCGGTCCGAGCGTTTTAATTGGCTTTCCTACCTGCCTGTCAAGGTATGTATTAGCATACCTCTGCGCACCCGGTTCGCGCAGACAGGATACGTCATCAGCGCGTTCACACACGCTGTGCAGACAGAGCGAGAATGGCAGACAAACATCAACAACCTGATCTTCCTTCCTGGTATTGTAGTACTTTTAAAGTTTTCTCACCGATGAATGACACATGATGTAGCCCAGCGGTTTAGGCATCAAAATTCAGTTCATTATTCGTTAGTTTCATGAACTATGATTGAACACAAGAGCTTATTTTTTGCGATAATCCAAAAGCCTATGGAAAAATCCTTTTGGCTTTTTGTCGAGGGAACCAGTGCGATGCTAACAGCCAATCGGCCTACAAAGTGAAATCATAGTTCCCCCACTCTATAGAATAGTGTCTCTGAACATTGAACTGCAAAAGTCTATTTAGATATGAAGTCTGCATGTGTGAATGAGTGGCACAGTTTTGTCTACTACATATACTTGATGCTTGTGGTGTTTTCAGCATCTGCCACCTCATATAAGGACATCAGCATTTAACCCTTTCATTTGATAAAACTATTGTGAGATACACACAGAAACTCAAAGGTTTTCACTACAGCCAATCAAAATAAACGTTTGGTTTAACTTGAAGAAATTATGAAAAATATATAACTACTATAGAATAGGGGTGGGAATCACCAGAGGCCTTATTATACGATATTATCACAATACTTGTGTCACGATACAATATTATTGCGATTTTAAATATATTGCGATATTCTGCGATATATTGCAATTTATTACCTTTTTCCAACTTCAAATTATGTCCCCAAAAGAAAACTGACAACATCTGTTTTAACTAAAAAGAAACATTTCTCAGTTTGTTTATCGCACTTCAGTTTTATTGTTGCAGTGCAAAATGGGATTGTCAAGCAGAAAACTGACCAACACTTTCATGAAAACATTATTGTCATAAATGTTGTATGCACCTGGCAAACTAAACTATTTGTATTACAGTCTAATCTAGTCCACCTTAATTAAATGTAAACAGGAATGCACTGCTGTGCTACTACAGGTATTTTGAACAGTGCAACTTGAAATTGTACTAAAACGTTGTGCAGACCCTTCAGCAACTGGGGCATTTGAAAGTAAATTACTTATATAAAGTAATTTTGTAAGACTTTTTAAATTTAACTCAATTTTAATAATACTGAATTTAAAAAAAACAAGCCAATAAAATAACCACACTTTTATTGAAAGTAGCACAATAAAACTGGACAGAATTTATATTAATATTGGTAAAACGTTACAATACGGTTCATTAGTTAACTACTTTAGTTAATGAACTAAGAATGAACAATAGTTCTTCAGCATTTACTAATCTTAGTTCATGTTAATTTCAACATTTACTAATGCATTATTAAAATCAACAGTTGTGCATGTTAACAGTTAATGCACTCTGAATTAACATGAACTAACAGTGAATAACTGTATTCTCATTAACTAACATTAAGAAAGATTAATAAATACTGTAATAAATGTATTGTTCATTGTTCGTTCATGATAGTTAATACATTAACTAATATTAACTAATGGAACCTTATTGAAAAGTGTTACCTTAATATTAAATATCAATATATTATTTTTATTCACTTCTATGTAACAGAATCAGATATAAGTTGTTGTTGTTTTTTTTGACTAATTATTGAAATAATGTATAGTCCTACAAAGCTATTATTATTAGAGCATATGAGCAGAGCATAGAGTCACTGAAGGTAGCATTATTTTACCAGCGTTGCCCAGTACAGCTGAACTAGCCTACACCATGTTACAGCACAGTAGCGCTACTGCAAACCGGAAACAAGTAGGCCTATACTGCATAGAAATTTCCTGTCAGCGTGTTATTTGAGCGGACTTTGCTTTTCCAATGAGCATGAGTGGTACACGAGCAGAACACACATTCATAGATCGGAATATTAAGCGAGGAGAGTGAAACATGCGTGCTGAACACTGCCGGGCGGGGCTCGACGCAGCGCGCATTATATATTATTATTATTAGGGCTGCGCGATAAATCGCATGCGGTTCTATAATCAGCGGTAAATCTCCATCACCTGCGGGCTTTCACATTGAGCAGCATTAACTACACAGAGCCGTTGTTCACTGACGAGCTGCGCAAAACCACGTTCATATTCGTGCAATTTTTTGCGCAACTCGTCAGTGAACAACGGCTCTGTGTAGTTAATGCTGCTCAATGTGAAAGCACGCACGTGACAGAGATTTACCGCTGATTACAGAACCGGCTTTCTGACAAGAAGCGCATTAAATATCGCATGCGATTTATCGTGCAGCCCTAATTATTATTATTATCATTATTATTATTATTATTATATGTAGCCTATATTTTCGGTACATCCCTACTTACATCCCCTCCTTGTTTACAAATCTGAAGTCCATACATCCGCTTTAAACGCGGACTGGGCTTTCCTGATATCTTTCTGCAATGCTGCCCTCTTTATTTTACTAACTTACTGCATGCTGAAGGTGACCCAGCTGACCTCACCAGAAAAAAACCTCAACACCACCATCTAGTGAATTGTAAAGAAATAGTTTTTTTTTTATTCTACCAAATAGTATAATAAAAGATCGATACTTGGCATCCATGTATCGATACAGTATTGCCGCGGAAAATATCGCGATACTATGCTGTATCGATTTTTCCCCCCACCCCTACTATACAAGTAGAATGCACTTTTCAAAGTAGCAACAACAATAACAGTCTATTAAAACATTTTAGGAATATAATTTTTTTGTCCACGTTTACATTTAAACGGTTGTGCAGCAATTTTAATGGTTCGTTAAAAACTGGATTTGATCACATTTCATTTGATTACACTTCAAAAGATTTATGCATTCATATGCATGCGTTATTAGTTTTACGCATTAATTTGATTAGTACCGTTTTTGATTCAATCATAAAACAATTTCTGAAATATAAAACATTGCATAAAACAATTTTTGACGAAAATAGGGGCCAAGTAATTAAGTAATTAAAGTTTTATGAGTTCAATTGATTAGACATCTTTTTTGATTATTAAAATTTAATTAAACCATTAAAACAGAATCCAGAAAAATGAAAATGGTAAGCATGCAATTTGGGGGAAAAAATCTAACTTATTTTATGGAGCAGAGAGTTTAATTTAGAAAGAAAAGGCATATAGAGGAGTGGTGTATGTAATAGGCAAATGTACGCAGAAACTCACATGTGCTCCATGGAGACCTGGCTGAGGCTGCTGGCGAGCTGAGAGACCAGAGTTTCATCCCTGCAGCCCATCAGATGCCCCACTTCCTCAGCTACACGCCCACTGTACAGCAGGCTCTTAGTGGAGGTGCCCGGTAAAGGGGAGGGCAGGGGCAGCTGGTTCAACACTGTACACACAAACAGAGTGTGATAAGGCAAAGCTTTCTTTATTACAAGAACTCCCAGGGTAGAAATCTAACAGCCACCTTAAGTGCGGGCAGAGATGTTCTGACACAGTCAATCTAAAATACATAGCGTTCATGAATCAGAGTCCAAGAAAGCAATGTCTTATCAGATAAACCTGAAGATGATCCAGATGCTGCAGCAAATTATCAAAAGTTTGGGATTGGCTGTAAAGCTGAAAACTCAGCTTTACATCACAGAAATAAACTACATTTTAAAATATATTCACATGAAAACAGTTATTTTAAAAACAGTAGTCAACATTGTGGATCAAAAAAGTTCATCAAAGTTGTCCTAGGACAAGAACGCATTTTGGTTTTAGGTTTTAGGACAACTTTGATGAAAGGTTTTGATTCACTTCAAAAGTTGACTAGTGTTTTTGCTGTATTTTGATTAAATAAATGCATCCTTGGTATGCAGAAGTGACTTAAATCTGACCAACCCCAAACTTTTGAACGGTAGTGTAAATACTGAAAAAAAAAATATATATATATATATTTTATGATGCAAGAGCCTTATAAAAACAAAGCATTCAAGTCTCTCATAGCGAATTGCTTAGTTACAAAATTGATAATTTAGACCAGGGGTTTTCAAACTGGGGTCCGCGACACAAAGCCAGGGGGTCCGCAAAATAATTAGCTATACCGTATTTTCCAGACTGCAATTCGCATTTTTTTATCTTCAGAAACGTGCTATGATTTATATTCCAAAGTGACTTATATAATGCATTAATGTCAAATAAGCAAAGCGTAAACACTTAAAAGCAGGCACTTCAAGGTTTATATGTCTGTTTGACAAGTAGACAGTATCGCAGGGTTTTTCTTCATTTTAGGAAGTGGTTCACATAGACCAAGACGGCAAGCGCATTTTGTTTGTTTTCTTTATTTTACAAAAGCACAAAGTTTCACTGTCATTTTGAAGGTACACAAATAAAAATTGACCGTTTTGAAAGATGTCTTGCTCTTATCTGACGGATATCACATTTTTCTGCTGATATAGGGAATTCAAAGTGTTCGCACTAGCGCGCGCACACAACAAGTCAGTTCTAGCATTGCAACTTGACATCACAGCCTCATCATCAGCAAACTAAATGAGACAACTAAACCTACAAAAGGTATTTGGTGACTCAATTTAACTTGTCTGTTGTACAATATGTAGGTTTTGCCGGTCAGCGTGAGCACGCCGTGGTATTTTTCCAAACACTTTTTTTGCATATGTGAAGGATGCTGTTAGTAGATATTCGGACATGAGAGAAGTACAAAGCATTCTTCACGTAATAAGTAGCCTAATAGTTTAGCAACCAAATGTTAGACTGCGTAACGATTTACTCATGGAAACGATTCATGCCGAATGAGAGGTTTGCGAGCCCACTATGTGGTTAAGTTTCAGTAAGTTTAGTTTGTTATGGACATGGCCATAGGCGCCGATTTTTGTTTCTGCCAGTGGGTGCTCATGAGACACATCGGTTTTTTGCACCCACCGGCAGAAACATAAGCTCTAACTGGTCTCGCGAGAACGTGACGATATCCTTGCACAGACTGGCTTGTTCACAAGCGGTGGTATGTAAGATATTTTATGTTCACATCAGGCAAGTGGCCGCATGATAAACGGGAAAATTACGGCATAGTCTTTATCCAGTCATAAAAAGAAAATTCACAGTTTAATGCGGAATGTCACGGAATTTGTCGAATTTTGAATTAATTAATCAAAAGTAGGTCATTACACTTAAATCAAATCACGATATGGACTAGTATCTGTAAATATTAAGCCGCAAAAGTCGATTTAAATATGAATCCTGCATGTTCTGCCTGTCTCTGTTAATGAATGGCGCAGATGCGCGGTTTCATTTACTACACACATACTGAAGCGTGCCTGATACTCGCGGTGATTTCAGCGTCTGCGGTCTCACTAAATGAGGACGTATTAAAAAGGAGTCGAGAAAAATTTAAAGGAAAAAAATTAATGGAATTTTAATGTCAAATAAGCAAAGCGTAAACACTTAAAAGCAGGCACTTCAAGGTTTATATGTCTGTTTGACAAGTAGACAGTATCGCAGGGTTTTTCTTCATTTTAGGAAGTGGTTCACATAGACCAAGACGGCAAGCGCATTTTGTTTGTTTTCTTTATTTTACAAAAGCACAAAGTTTCACTGTCATTTTGAAGGTACACAAATAAAAATTGACCGTTTTGAAAGATGTCTTGCTCTTATCTGACGGATATCACATTTTTCTGCTGATATAGGGAATTCAAAGTGTTCGCACTAGCGCGCGCACACAACAAGTCAGTTCTAGCATTGCAACTTGACATCACAGCCTCATCATCAGCAAACTAAATGAGACAACTAAACCTACAAAAGGTATTTGGTGACTCAATTTAACTTGTCTGTTGTACAATATGTAGGTTTTGCCGGTCAGCGTGAGCACGCCGTGGTATTTTTCCAAACACTTTTTTTGCATATGTGAAGGATGCTGTTAGTAGATATTCGGACATGAGAGAAGTACAAAGCCTTCTTCACGTAATAAGTAGCCTAATAGTTTAGCAACCAAATGTTAGACTGCGTAACGATTTACTCATGGAAACGATTCATGCCGAATGAGAGGTTTGCGAGCCCACTATGTGGTTAAGTTTCAGTAAGTTTAGTTTGTTATGGACATGGCCATAGGCGCCGATTTTTGTTTCTGCCAGTGGGTGCTCATGAGACACATCGGTTTTTTGCACCCACCGGCAGAAACATAAGCTCTAACTGGTCTCGCGAGAACGTGACGATATCCTTGCACAGACTGGCTTGTTCACAAGCGGTGGTATGTAAGATATTTTATGTTCACATCAGGCAAGTGGCCGCATGATAAACGGGAAAATTACGGCATAGTCTTTATCCAGTCATAAAAAGAAAATTCACAGTTTAATGCGGAATGTCACGGAATTTGTCGAATTTTGAATTAATTAATCAAAAGTAGGTCATTACACTTAAATCAAATCACGATATGGACTAGTATCTGTAAATATTAAGCCGCAAAAGTCGATTTAAATATGAATCCTGCATGTTCTGCCTGTCTCTGTTAATGAATGGCGCAGATGCGCGGTTTCATTTACTACACACATACTGAAGCGTGCCTGATACTCGCGGTGATTTCAGCGTCTGCGGTCTCACTAAATGAGGACGTATTAAAAAGGAGTCGAGAAAAATTTAAAGGAAAAAAATTAATGGAATTTGGAAAAAAATTAAACGGAATTTAGGAAAAAATTAAACTGATTTCACAGGGCCCTAACTAGGCCTATCCCTCAACCTTGCCGTGCCCCCCAGTTTGGGAACCACTGCTTTAATATTTTAAATGGATACATTAATTGTGTTTATTATATTTTTTTTTATTAAAGTGGAAATCAGTTTACTAAATAATGTAAACTTGACTGACTGCTTCACTTCCACTTTAAAAGGATATTTATGTTGTTTATTATTTATTTTTATTTATACCATTTATAATTTTTGTGCAATTACTTGCCTGTCAGTTGAGTTTGTGGCAAAACATTTTGCAGTGTTTACATGTTATTACTGCATAAAATGTATTAAAATAGATGTTTAATTTCATAAAGTACAAGTTGATTTCAAAATGCACCTACTTTTTTGCATTTTATGTTTTTCAGTTGAATAAAATACTATTTTTCCCTATATATTTCATCATTGAGGATTTATTTTTAAAAAGTCTAAAAATCTCATCTCGTGTCTCGTGGGATAAGTGTCTCGTCACACCCCTAGTTGAAGCCCATGATCACCATAAATAATGTAATCGAGTCAGTCCCCCTTAATACTTAAACATTTGCATATATATGCACATTTTGCAATAAACTAAAAATACATAGTTTCTGTAGATAATTAATATCTTTAAATTAGTCGTTTTATATTGCTTCAATGATTTTAATCTGATTGTCATTTGCAAAGTTTCATGTGATTGTAGTTTCCCTCACTAAAGCCCTTAAGTCTTGTACCTTTGTTGTTTTGCCCAATTTTCCAATATTTTTTGCTCCAACTTAAGGTTTATAAGGTTGTTATTATGTTGGGTTAGTTCATGGCTTATAACGCTTTAACAAAATCCTTTTTAAAATCCCAATGGGAAAAATGAATAGAAAAAAATACTTCCGGAAGCAACGCCACTGAAAACGTGAATTACGAGTAGTGGGATTAGGGTACTTACAGTCAGTGAGACCAGCGATCCCAGCAAGGGTTGTGATGGGCACATGTGGCATGTCCCCATTCATACTGACGGCTGGGCACAGAAGTCTTACACACACACAGAGTTCCACAGAGATATTTATAGGCTGACCATGCCTCACATCTCACTCAATCCTAGAAAAAAAACAAGAGTGTTTGAATGAGGTTGTGATATTGGATGATGTCTAACCAGCTTCATTTGTTTATTACAGAGTCTCAACAATTTTGTGCATAGATCAACAGTCACTATGTTTCCTGGCAGAATCAGTCCACTCAGACGTACTGTCTGTAACAGGTGTATTGATTTCTGTGCACACTAACTGCCACGTAGAGGAGCATTATGCGATAACATCTACTACAGTGCAGACAGCCTGATGGACACACCCACTCTGGACAGACAGAAGATGGACCATGGACACACCCCTCATTAGATATGCAAGCCCAACCCTGTCTCTCTCAGGGGACCAATGACAGCTGGGAGATGGTAAGCGCATAGTAAGCACAAAAGAGCAGATGCAAAGAAGCAGACCTCACATAATCAAGCAAGAACACATTTTACACACATTCAAAACAACATACTACATCACTGCTCAGGGTACAACAAGTAAGCATTTTTGTTTAAACAACTGCATTTCAAATGATAAAAACCTCTTCTGTAGTATCAAAAGAAAATTCTGCATACATTTCTGCATCCGGGCTATGTAGAGGGCATTAATATTCATGACTCATTTGCATGTGAAACCGTATTCGAAATGTAAACAGTCCAGTGCTGAGCTCTGACGGGCAGATTATTACCGATGCAAACCGGGGTACTTCAGTTGCACTGGCCCTTTAAATGTCAATACTTCATTTTACATTCATGAATCCATTCCGATCACTTGCATGCAGGTTTTAAGACAACAACTCGGCAGCGACATTCACACAATACACTATTTCATAATCACACCTTTTGTCGCTAAAAATTAAAATTCAACAATCAGGAACGTTTTCAACATCTCAATAACGTGTTTATATTTCTTACCGAAAACAAGGTGCAAGCGACTTTGAGTTGGCTTAAGTTCTGAATGCAATTATCTGCCCAATTTATAGTATTATTCTCTAAATCGTTAACGCAAGATGCTATTAAAGGATATGGCAGGTCATACAGTGGAGTGAAGCATCACATCTGTGCAAACAGGGTAACACAAAATGACCAAAAACACAGTGTTGACAAGTCGATCGCCACAGAGAGGAACCATTCATCCTCAAAGCGTTTCACTGACGTTTATTCAGCCGTAATGACTCAAAACATGGCTACCACCATGTTCAGTTATGAACACTAGAGAATGTAAATATTTACCATAACACGCGTTCAAGCCGTTCGTGGGTTCTCGAGAGATGCTTAGAAATGATTTCGACTATTAGCAAAGCGTTAGCTCGGGACTTAATAGATTCCTTGCGGAGACTCGCTAGTTAGCATTGCTCTGATCTGCTATGTGAATTCTTACAGAAACCCGAGCCGCTTGTGTTCTTATTTAAATAACACATTTAGTTATCTTCTACACGATTTTCTGTGAATAGTTCAGTCGTTTAGTCTACTAAACGATCGCCGCCGCTATGCTAAACGCTGGCCAAGGCTAGTTCGGCTACGCACATCTTTCTATCCCCGCTCGCGAACAATAAAAACACTTTTCGCTGTGCTCCATTCTCTCCCTCACACTGTACGTGACGCGACGAAACGTTTTCGGTCATTACAAAAAGCGTGGGGATATCTGTATATAATCCGTTTGAGTTCCCACACAAAAACGCTCGCCAGTGTTTGTGGCGCGAGGCCTCCGCGAGCTCCGCAGAAGCCTCGGACTCTACGCTGGGGGGCGCGCCGGAGGAGAACGACTAGCCGAGCCGTTGCGACGTTCGTCTTCTCAGAGCCGTTCCGTCGAGAAAAACCTAATGGAAACGTGTCGAAATGTGGTAAGGAACGCGAAGACGGCCTTAGGACAGGGTTTGATATTTACCTTAGCTTGGGGTAACTTCAAAGAAGAAAAAATAAGGGGACTGTTGTTAGGATGAGAGGTTGTGGTTGTCGGTCTGCTGCAAGTCTCTGGCTCCCCCTCTCTGCTATAAAAAGATCAGCGCGGGCTAGCGGGGTTTGTTTAGCCGAGCCAGCTAACAACAAGCCAACTCTGTCTTTATCTGGGGTGGGGGAGGTCAGGCTTTCTCTCATCGCACTTTAAATGCGTTTCATAACGAAACCGAGTTTAATTCAGCTCTTTATGAACTCATCGCGTCAATGCTCGTAAAACACAGTTGCTTACGTCTTTGTTTGCCAACAAAAAAGCCCCACAACTGATGCTTTGTCGCTAGTCAGAGGGAATTGTAGGTTGACCGGAAATACAAATACTAATAACGTGATTATTTCCCCGCAGACACTGTTGACGATTTCCAGCCTTTTTCCATCAGGTGCGAAAACACGTATAAATACGACTGAATTCTTCTTTTTTTTTTACTCTAGTTTGACATCCCCAATCATTGCATATCATGTAATAATCATGGAATAGTGTTCACAATCGATAATAATCCTCTTCTTTCATTTTTTCATATACATTGCATTAATATGCATCGTACTTTATGTATGCATGTGTATATATATATACACACACACTGTGTATGATGAGTATTAATTATAATGTATATTGAGAATAACGCTATTACATTATATGTATTGATGTGGATATGTATATATTTATTAATAAAGATATAAGTGAAAAAAGAGCATATTAATATAATGTATATTATATTAATATACAACCATCTTTATATATAACAAATAATGGGAATCCTTACACTAGTGGTATGCATCAGTGAATATTACCTTAAAAAGAATGTTTAGGGATCTCCTCAAATATGCTAAAGAAACTACAATTTATTTTAATTGCTGATGTGTTTGGGAGGGAACCGTTAACAGACTTCAGCGTTCTTGTAGTTTATAACTTGACCTAGAGCCCTGTCCTTTGAGCCTTCCTGTAGTTTCACTTCTCACCACTGGATGGCGATTTAGCATAACGATTAAGGCTAGTCAAAGACTTTCTTTGAATTTGTCTTCTTTAAGAGAAATAATTCTGTGTAGCTGTATGAAATGTATGAGCTATAATACTGTGGCTTCCATTACCATTAACTGTCATATATATTCCAGTGCTATTCAAGTCCAAGCTAAAAACCTGTGCAAGTCTAGCCTTTGTATGAAAGCATCTGCAAAACGTATACATAAAAATTATGCATTTTAAAATGGACAATTGTTGTTTTTATTTCTACTCTTTCTTTAGCATGTCTATGTAAAGCACTTTATATAGACAAAATGTCTATATGAATCAACTTTTCTTGAAATTTTGTTATAGCACAGTATGTAGTGACATTCATTTTTTTAGTTTGGAATATATGTCAAAGCAAAATGTTTGCTCATTAGCTGTATATTGATATAACACTAAGAGAAGTTTAATGTGTTCGGAAATGCCATATATTATACTCGCACTCACCTCTGGAACAAAACACTACTGGAACAGGTCAAGAAGGACATGATAAAATTGTGTCAACAAGGTCCTGACTTGAACAGAGTTTAGATCATACATTCTTTCTAAGGCGGTAATACCATGTGCTTGCCAAGTACAGTAGAGTAGTGAGGGATTGAGAAATGTCAAGGATGAGCCATTCAAAGGCTAATAATGACTGTAATTCTGCAGAACTGGGTGGTGCTACATTAAGGATATAACATTTAACTCCTATATTGTCACTGCAAAGCGAGTTTAAAAAAAAAAAAAATGAAGGAATAGTTTAAAGGAATAGTACAAAATTTGCTAATAATGTACTCACCCTCAAGCCATCCAAGATATAGATGAGTTTGTTTCTTTATGAGAACAGATTTGGAGAAATGTAGCATTACATCACTTGCTCACCAGTGTGAATGGGTGCCGTCAGAATGAGAGTCCAACAGCTGATAAAAATATCACAATAATAATCCACACCACTCCAGTCCATCAGTTAACATCTTGTGAAATATGTAACGGTGCATGTTTGTAAGAAACAAATCCATCACTACGACATTTTTAACTTCAACCAGTTCAAAACCGGTCTAAACAAATATGTGGATTTTGTTGTGCGAGGACAACAGGAGATGGACCTTTTCAAGTGTTATGATGGATTTTGGCTAGAAGTTATGGTTTAAAGTTAAAATATCTTAATGGTGGATTTGTTTATTATAAACACACAGCTTTTCATCTCACACCACGTTAATTGATGAGTGGTGTGGATTACTGTGATGTTTCTATCAGCTGTTTGGACTCTCATTCTGACGGCACCCATCCACTGAGGATGCAAAATAGGTAACATAAGAATCACTAACCTGTTCAGGGTGCATGCTAAGAACACAACAGGTAATGTGAACAGTCCTGGCCAAAATGCTCTTCTTTATTAATAGATTTCTTTATTTTGTTCAAACCGACAGTCATCTATCAAGTCTTGAAATAAGATGATTACATCAGTTGAATGTACAGTTTTTCAAAAACAACTCTCAGATTCCAGCTTATTTTCACTAATAAAGGCTGCTGTAGTTGTGTAGCATGGAAACATCGCAATATACTGTTGTTTCTGGACTCGCAGCTTCACTTTCCAACTTAAGCTGCCAAAACTTCCCATGTGTTTCATAACAACCAGTTTGAAAATGCTTCTTTTGAACTATTTCTTCTTCTTTTTTTTAAATCGTCTGAAATCATTTGGCTTATTTAAAATCTTTTTTCCCCCCCAGCCCAAGTAAAAGCATCATTGTGAACATATATTTTTTCCATAATGGCATTGGGTATTTCTCTTGAATTTTAAAATCGTCTGAAATCATTTGGCTTATTTAAAATCTTTTTTTTTCCCCCAGCCCAAGTAAAAGCATCATTGTGAACATATATTTTTTCCATAATGGCATTGGGTATTTCTCTTGAATTAACGTCAACAAACCTGCATCTAGAAAATTAATAAAATTATGTCTAGTGTAATCAAATCTATTGCATTTACGCTACAATAAAACAGTTCAAAGAGGACCACACATGTCCATCTCTGCTTGAACTTCAACACATTTGGATGTCTTGGACAGGCATATAATAAGACTTGAGTTGAATATCAGACTAGTGTCTGACTAAGTCACTAGTGTTTGTACAAAAACTCCAGATTTTCCTCAGGAAACAGGTGGTTACATTTTGGTCTCACTGTCAGGGATCTTGGCATTCTCGCACTCGCTCTCCTGAGAGATGAGCTGGTATGACTTCTTGGTCTCGTTCTCCTCCACTACAGAGTTTCCTATCTCGGCGTCGATAGCACACAGCTCGTGACGTGACAGGTGCTCCACAATGCCAGCACCAATGGAGTCGCCCAAAACATTCGTGGTGGTGCGCAGCCGATCTCTGAAGCAGCAGATGAAAACAAGCAGATTTATTTTCATGGTGGAAATATGTCCAAGCACACCACAACTTCTTATCAAAGTCATCTCCTCATCAATGGGGATTTATTTCTCTGGTTTACACATCTGGATGTCACATGAGCCTTTGTTGTGCTCTGAGGGCCTCGTGTAGCTTCCGCTTAAAAAAAACGGCTCTTTGTGTGATGTTTTTGCTGACCCATCTTTCCTAGCATGAACGTTCCTCAGAGTCTGAGGCCTCCTCTAAGCCTCACAATGCCTCTTCTGTTCTGTACGCTGCTTTAACCAGCACATAATCTGACGACAAGCTCCCTGACTGAATTTGAATTCAACGACTGCCGTTTTGCTCTGAATGCGGTGGGAGTAAAGGCCACAAGAACATGCTATTGGATACGGGTGTATTGTTCACTGGGTCCTAAACTCATTGGAAGCAGATGTTGCATGGCCATATACAATTGGATTATGGGTTATGGAATGTAAAAGATAGAATATCTTGCTGCTCAGCCCTGAAGTTCTGCCTGGGTCTGTGTGAAGGAACCTTAAAAACCTTCAGATGTCTTCAGAACATCACAAGTTGAAATTCTCTGGTTTAGGGTTCCCACAGCTTTTGATCAGTGAATTTCCATGACTTTTCCAGTTATTCTGGATTATAAACGCTGATAGACATTTAAATTTTTTTTTATAGAGGTTAGATAGTGGTTACAGTCACAAAGAGCCATTTCTAGCTGAAGAAGCCATTAAACTTAAAACACACACAAAAAAACATTATTAATGTAATTTAATATTTAATTAAAAACAACTAAATATTTACTTTTATTAATTATTTTAAACTGTATTCATTTATTATTCATTTAAATTATTTGTATTAATTAAAAAATATTTTGTTTATATTTTAATGAAACTTTCTATTACTTTTTAGGATAAGTAATTTCCACAAGGCCTAGAAATGATTATAAACTGAACAAAACCTCACAGGTCTTATAATTCACTGCTTATTGAATTAGTTAACTCAAATTAATTAATAAATGAATTTATTATTAATTATACAACTACAATAAGTATATCCAACCTTACCTGGATACATACGTATGTACTATAGAGCAAATCTCAACTATTTTATGGTTATATTTTCAAAATGTAAACTAGCAGCTTTCCCAGCATTATATTAAAAGTTGAATATAATATAGCATGTACTATATAGCAAATCTCAACTGCCTGATTGTTTAAATTCTCACAAAATGTGAACTATATTATCGCACATCTCTATTTACACTAGAATATACAAAGTTGGATACCCAGTATATTATATCAAACTTTATTCGCATACATGCAGTACACTCAGGTAAAGCAATATAATCTATATACTAAATCTCAACTGTCTCATTTTTTGTTTTCATCATAAAATGTAAGAACATTATTGCCAAGCTCTTTATATAAAGTTGGAAGTTTGTTCAACTTTATCTGCATACAGCATATTCACCTTGAAATCACAATCTGAAAATTATTTAATATTTCTAGATTTGTATTTATTTATTTTTTGACAGTGGGAACTATGTCTGCTTATTAAAGCTGATCAGTGTAGTTCTTCAAATACTTTCTCCTGTCCCAGCGTAAAGTACACACTGGTTTCCCTGAAAAGTCATATGTGGGATGATCTCACACACCAAAAAAAACTTGAAACGTTTGTAATACACAAAAAATAGTACTCACAGGAACCAATCAACTGCGATAATTAGAGTGATGTCATCAGTGGGCAGTCCTACAGAGGTCAGCACTATCACCATGGTAACCAGGCCAGCCTGAGGGATTCCAGCTGCACCAATGCTGGCTGCTGTTGCTGTGATGCTTCAAAAATCATTTTCAGTCAGATAAATACTGAAACGGTGTGAAAAATCAACTACTTTTTTTTATGCACTGGTCATTTTTGAGATTTTGGGATTCTACTTTCACAACATGTCTTCTTTCAGGCTAGTGGAAAGAAAACGTCCAAAATACAGTGTTTATTTTGTTACATTTTGTCTATTTGCATCTGTATATTCAATTACAATAAAAAAAATTTAATGACCGTTTTCTCAAAATTACGTCATTTTTTTCAGGCAGAAATCTCTACTTTAGTAGCATTTACCTACAACAAAATGTCTATTTTTGTGGATATTCTAAACTTTTTCTGGTTCTTAAGGTTTTTTTTAATATACAATTGTATTCCTCAACATTGTGTTTTTTTCTGAATTTTTCTGACAGTATTTTGGGATTTATGGAGTGTTAAAAAAAAGATATCCAAAATCATTGTGAAATATGTCAACATTTCAAATATGTCAAAAATAAAACTAAATTTTACATTTTTATATTCAATGTTCACATTTTTGTTCTGGAAATGTATGCAAATCAGTGAATTTTTAATTAGACAATGCCTAATTTGCATTTTTAAACATTTAAAAAAACGTGCAGTAGTACAACATTTAATGTCTTAAAGGGGTCATATGATGCTTTTTTAAAGATCATTATTTTGTGTATTTGGTGTAACAGAATATGTTGACATGCTTTAATGTTCAAAAAACACATTATTTTTCAAATACTGTACATTATTGTAAGTCCTCTATGCCCCGCCTCTCTTAAACGCTTCGTTTTCTACAAAGTCCCTCCTTCCGACAAGCGCAGTCTGCTCTGATTGGCCAGCTGACCCAGTGCATTGTGATTGGCCGAACACCGCAAGCACTCGTCAGAAATGTAACGCCCCTTACCATAATCGCGAGCTTCATCTTTCAAAATAAATGTAAAGACAGAGTTGCGTGACAGACACAGTGATGAAGCTGGTATGTGTGCAGTACAAAACCACAGTTAAAACAGCTGACTCCACTGTGATGTGACCCCCTCTCTCTGCGTGAACATTTGGGCGGCATTATGCTAATATTTCCACATAGTGAGGTAGATATGTGGGGGCGTGTTAGAACGAGCCGTTTTAGGGGGGCATGGCAGAGTCTTAACTTTTATAAAGAATATCTCTTTGGTTTTGAGACTTTAGTCTTTGCAACTTCAGGGATCTTATCTATGCACAATCAGCTTGTAACACTCCAAAGAGAAAGGAAAACTTGAAATCGCATCATATGACCCCTTTAATGTTCTGTGATTATTGTGAAATCTGTTAGTTTTCACCTGTGGCGTCTTGCCTTAACTGAATAAGCTGTCATGGAAAAGTTCTTTATTTGACCGAACGGTACCTGATGGTTAGGATCTCTCCAAAGTTCAAATCCATGTCATTGACTTGTGCGATGAAGATGGCAGCCAGAGCCTCGTACAGAGCAGTGCCATCCATGTTTATAGTGGCTCCGACAGGCAGCACAAAACGGGTTACACGTTTATCCACATGGTTATTCTCCTCTAGACACTTAAAGGTGATGGGCAGAGTGGCAGAGCTACGGAGAGGCAAATTCTGTCATCATTCACTGATCATCATCATGTTCCAAACTCGAAAATGTAGACGAAAGGAAAACGTTGACCCCTCTTTGTCTAGTTCCAACAAACACCATAAAAATAATCCATATTGAGAACATATACAAACAGCATGTAGTGGGTGACTAAAATATTAATCACGTTCCTTTTTGGGTAAACTTACCGTTTTAAACATGTTGTGAAACTCTCATGCTAGTGCTACAGCAAAATAACCTTTAGGAAACTAAACTAAATTTTATTCTAGTAAAACTGTAGTAGACCTAACCATGTTTTTTGTTTTTTGCTTTTTGGGGAGAGAGATTGATTAACATTTGTATAAACAGTTTTACTACAAATAACCTGGTTAAAATATGGTTAGTGTAGCAAAATCATGGGTTTTTGTGGTTTACCATGGTTTAACTACAATAACCATGGGTTATTGCATTAATCGTGATTAATCGCATCCAAAATAAAAGTTTTTGTTTACATTATATATGTGTACTGTGTATATTTATTGCGTATATACAAATACACACATACAGTATATATTTTGAAAATATTTACATGTATATACACATTTATATACTTATATTAATATAATATATATTATATTAATATAAGTATATAAATGTGTATATACATGTAAATATTTTCAAAATATATACTGTATGTGTGTATTTGTATATACGCAATAAATATACACAGTACACATATATAATGTAAACAAAAACTTTTATTTTGGATGCGATTAATCGCGATTAATCGATTGACAGCACTCGTTTTTTGGTTTTATTTGTAGTAAAACCATGGTTTAATTTCGTAACGGAAATCACATTTAAAATGTATTAAAATGTATATATGTATTGAAAATGATTTCAATTTAAAAGCTCACCTGGAGGAGGTACCGAGTGCAGTGACAAGGGCTTGCAGAAGTCCAGCGATGAACACAAATGGATTTTTACGCGTCACAAGGAAGTAAAGCGAAGGCAGTACGATGATTGCATGTATCAGTAGGCCAATGATGACTGTGATGGTGTACATGCCCAACTGGCCTCCCATTTCTGATATATCATCCATCTCAACTATCTTTCCTGCGATCAGGAACATTATGCCGAGAGGAGCGTACCTGAGGTGGGAAAACAAATTAGTTTGTTATTACTGCTTTGGAAAAAACAGTGTTAAACATATACTTAATTAAGGCAAAGAGAATGTCCTAAGTTGTCTAATAAAGTGTTTTTCTATATGGTCATGTTTTGTCTCACGGCGCTTCAGACTGCGACTAAAATGTTCACAAATGCCACAAAAAAAACAATGTGCAACAGTAATTTATAATCTAACAACATGATATCTGAAAGTCGAGGAGGCGTTTGCATGCGTCAATATTGGGTTTAGCCAGTTCACGCAACAAATGACTCAACTGAAGTGATTCTTTTTAATTGAGAGATTCACAAAACAGATCCAAACTCAATCGTGAGTTAGTAGGCTTTGAATCAGATTCATTGAGTCAGTGAATCGCTCAGAGCTGTTATTGAGTTCACAACTGAATTCCTTACTGCACCATCTGTAATTTTTCCAGTCACATCGGATTCGAAACGGGAGCTGTGCTTTGATGGGCTTTTTAGGTTCATATGACTCACCTGGTGAAACATCATGAATCACCAGAGAGTGAAAGCATCAAATTTGGAACAAATTTATAATAAAAATAACTTCAAAAGCTTACAGCTATAACTTAAAGTGCTGTGGTCCATACTAAATTAGGCCTATTGAGCTATTAAAAGGATAGTTCACCCAAAAATTTAAATTTTGCCATAATTTACCCCGATATCGTTCCAAACCTGTAGGAGTTTCTTTCTTGAAGATGTTGAACATAAAAGATGATATTTTGAAGAATGCTGCTAATCAAACAGTTGATGGTCCCCATTTACTTCCATAGTATTTCTTTCCATACAATAGAAGTCAATGGCTACCAGCAACAGTAACATTTTTCAAAATATCTTCTTCTGTGTTCAACATAAGAAAGGAACTCATACAGGTTTGGAACAACATGAGGGTAAGTAAATGATGACAAAACTATTCCTTTTTTGGTTTTTGTTCATGTAAACAGACCCAAATTCAAATGCTGACCTATACATTGCCATATATATGCCTATTAAACGTTGCCATTTAAATTGTAAGTCAGTGCTAACAATTTATTTAGACTTTAGACACTTTTTTAACTGACAAACAAATGAAAATATGGACTTATCTATTAGCGTCTTAGCGGAGCAAGTCATTATTCCATTATTTATTATATGTGACCCTGTAGCACAAAAGCAGTCTTAAGTCGCTGGGGTATATTTGTAGCAATAGCCAAAAATACATTGTATGGGTCAAAATTATTGATTTTTCTTTTATGCCAAAAATCATTATGATATTAAGTAAAGATCATGTTCCATGAAGATAGTTTGTAAATTTCCTACCGTAAATATATCAAAACTTAATTTTTGATTAGTAATATGCATTGCTAAGAACTTCATTTGGACAACTTTAAACGCGATTTTCTCAATATTTAGATTTTTTTTCACCCTCAGATTCCAGATATTCAAATAGTTGTGTCTCTGCCAAATATTGTCCGATCCTAATAAACCATACATCTATGGAAAGCTTATTTATTCAGCTTGATGATGTATAAATATCAATTTCGAAAAATTGACTCTTATGACTGTTTTTGTGGTCCAGGTTCACATATGAGGGCCACTTTTTAACTCTTTCCTCTAATTTCATTATGTTTTCATTGCTTATGTTCCAGTAAGTCTGCTTGAAATTAAAATGACAAAAACAGTCTGGCAGGTCATGACATGGTTTATCCCATTTTCATTAATTAGAAAAACCACTGTTTGTGAAAACCATGTAAATAATGTGCTGAAAGCTGAAAACTTTCCCACTCTAAATCACTCACCACATGATAATGGCAACAAGCCTCATGATGGCCTCATTCAGACAGTCAAAGAAATCCCGTAGCGGTTGACCCTGTTCCTTCATGTTCCCAATGATGAAGCCAAAGCACATGGAGAAGACCACGAGTCCGAGTGCGTTGATTCCATTAACCGTTCCCAGCACTGGTATCACCTCTTCACGTTTGAGTTCCTGCGACCCGTTATTCAAACTGAACAATGTCTCGTTCACCAGAACTTTAACCGTGACCACTCGCTTGCCATATTGTGTTTTAAACTGAAGAAGGTAGAGAGAATAGAAAGTTACTTGGTTGTGTTTACCATCTTATAGGAAGCTAGATTTTTACTGGTTCTTATGCATTAAAAACATTACCTGTTGAGTACAAGCTTGCACTAAATTAGGAGGAAACATGTTTCTATTAAAAATAAAAAAAAGAATATAATGTTAGAAGAAGAAAAAACATCATAAAATTGTAAATTAAAAAAGTACTTTGCCATACCTGATGAGATCGAGGAAGGCATCTGCTGGGCTGACTTGTTCTATCTTCTCCTGTTTGGTGAATTCGTCTTTAGAGCCTCTTCCCGGGTGGATGATGAGCACCATGACGATCCCGATGAACACAGCGATGATAGTGGTGGTGGTGTAGTAAACTACAGCTCTCACACCCATCTTCCCTGAAGCTCGACTGTCCAGAGCGGCCATACCTGCACACAGGTGACATTAGACTGCAATATTAGTTTGTTTCACATGATTCTGTGGATGCATGTGCATATATAGTAATGCAAGCAACATATACTGGATATACAACTGCATATACATACAATGACAGTCAAAAGGTTGGACACGCCTACTCATTCTACACTAGCATTCAAATGTTTAGGGTTGGTAAGATTTTTTGGTCACACTTTAGTTTAAGGTCCAATTATCACCATTAACTAATTATTAACCATGACTTCTGCCTCAGTAAACTCCTAATTTGCTGCTTATTAATTATTAATAGTTAGTAAGGTAGTTGTTAAGTTTAGGTATGAGGCAAGATTAAGGGATCTAAAATATGGTCATGCAGAATAAGGCATTAAAATGTGCTTTATACGTACTAATAAACAGCCAATATGCCAGTAATATGAATGATAATAAACTACTAGTTAATAGTGAGAATTGGTCCTTAAAATAAAGTGTAACAGTTTTTTTTGTTTGTTTTATGCTCACGAAGGCTTCATTTATTTGATCAAAACTACAGTAAAAAAAAAAAAACTGTAAAATATTATTACAATTTTAAAATAAATGTTTTCTATTGTAATATATTTGAAATTATAATTTATTCCTGTGATCAAAGCTGAATTTTCAGCATCATTACCAAAGTCTTCAGTGTTCACATGATCTTTCAGAAATAATTATGATTTGCTACTCATGATACATTATTATTATTAATATTGAGAACAGTTGTGACGCTGAATATTTTTATGGAAAAACATTGATATGTTTTATCATTAATTTAAAGGTAAAAATTGTATTTGCATTTATTTGAAATAGAAATCTACAACAACTTTACTTACACTTTGGATCAATTTCATGCATCCTTGTTGATTAGAAGTATTAATTTCTTTTTTGTACTTTGAATACAAAAAAAAGTAACTAGACGCTTTCAGACCAAACATAAAATCAGTCAAATTCAGTGTGAAATTCAAAAAGAAAGAAAGAAAGAAAGTCTCTACATTGATGCTCAACAACAACAGCTTGTATAGGAGTCAGACAGTATATTTCCTGAAGGTCACTGACCACGACTGCCATTCAGCGTTTCTCTCTATAGGACAGAAACAGCCATTGTATTGAACTATGTATGTCTTCCATTATTGTGTATGGTGCATGTGTGTGTGCGTGTCTGATCCTAAGTAGTGATCTCACTGCCCCCAACCCCATAAACCCCTCAAGCTTTACACCCCACAGTGGCCTGGGAACCTTCTGCACAGGTCATGTTCTCGTCCTGCTGCTCTCATTAGTTCCCGTCTCCATGGTAACGATGACCTCCCCGCCAGAGTCTTATAAAGTCTTATTCTCCTATACCGCAGAGTAATTACCTCGCATATATACACACACACACACACACACACAGTCTTCAAAGACGAAGTGTGTGTGAACCTCACAAAGAAACTCATCTAATGAGAGCTCAATCGTAAGCTCAATCAGCGAACGGCCAGAATTTGTGGATAAACTAAGTCTGTCTGTTCCATCAAGTTGCTGTTTAATCAGAAACTTAAATATTAAACTGCAGCGAGCGATTTGAATAATTCCTAAAATTTTGAGAAAAGGCTTATGATTTTTACACAGTGGACAATAAAGTGGGTGGAAAAAATAGATTCAAACCATATCTAGAGATCAGAATATCACAGATTTAAAGGTGGACTTTTTGATCTGACTCATAAACAACCTTATATATATATATATATATATATATATATATATAGCAATATTTGATGAATAAAAAGTTAAAAAGAACAGCATTTATTCAGAATAGAAATCTTTTGTAACAATACAACAAAATAATTTTTTTTTTAAGAAATTAATACTTTTATTGAGCAAGGATATGTCAAACCAATAAAAATGTGGTAGTAAAGGTTTGTACTGTTACAAAAGATTCCTATTTGGAATAAATGCTGTTCTTTTTTATTTTTATTCATAAAAGTCAAAAATTCTGAAAAAAGTATCACGGGTTCCAAAAAAATATTTTTACTCACGTTAGTGAAATGACTCGTGAATGCGGTTTCATGTGGGCTCTATAGCATAAAAGCAGCTGTTTAACTATCAAAGATGGACAAAAACTAAAAGCATTGTCTTTTTTATTCTATATAAGCTGTGTTTGTGCCACATCTGTCTGGAAACTGTTTGTGGCTTTATTTAGAAAGCAGCAAATGCTATTTATACACAGAGAATGTGTGTGAGTGTGTGTGTGTGTGTGTGTGTG